GGCGAGGACCCAAGACTTGTATTCCAAGATTCCCTTCTTTCTGAGGACCAGACTTGATGGAATCATCATCAGACAACCGTGGTTAGTTGTTAAATTTTTTAAATGATATTTTGTTACATGACAAATCTTTGTTGTTGATATCTGAACCATTAACTTATTATTGAATGCCTTTTGACAGCTGAATTATTCCACATCTCCTCACCATCCATAACTCATCACAATCTATATCTCCTCACATTCTTTATCTCCTTACATTCTGTATTTCTTCACACTCTATATCTCAACACATTCTATATCTCCTCACAATCTATATCTCCTCACATTCTATATCTCCTCACATTCTATATCTCCTCATATTCTATATCTCCTCACATTCTATATCTCCTCACATTCTATATCTCCTCACATTCTATATCTCCGCACATTCTGTATCTCCTCACATTCTATATCTCCTCACATTCTATATCTCCTCACATTCTGTATCTCCTCACATTCTATATCTCCTAACATTCTGTATCTCCTCACATTCTATATCTCCTAACATTCTATATCTCCTCACATTCTATATCTCCTAACATTCTGTATCTCCTCACATTCTATATCTCCGCACATTCTGTATCTCCTCACAATCTATATCTCCTCACAGTCGGTATCTCCGCACATTCTGTATTTCCTCACATTCTGTATCTCCTCACATTCTGTATCTCCTCACATTCTGTATCTCAAGAATCTTCTCATGTTGTCTTCCCCTGTCCCTCTTTGCACAAATCTTTCCAGTGGTCACATGTACCAGTTTCCGTCTTTGCTTAACATGTCTACAAATTTATGGCTGTATCCTTCTGATATTTGTGATAAGTTGTCTTCAGACCGTGACCTCTTTCAAAACATCCGGGTTACTCATTTTGGCTGTCCAAGAAATTGTAAACATTATTCTATAAAACCATTCTATATCTATGTATTCCATATCCTCTTCATGTCATTGTTGAAACATAAGGCATTCACAAGAGATGTCCACTGCAGCAAGACTGCTGAATTTCTGTGCATGTCAGTTTACACTTCCTCGTTTCCTTTTCTCAAAGTTTCCTTAGGTATCCACTTCTTTTTACCCTATGCTGCCCACTGGAGAGCTGTCCTTGCTGGTATCTTGAAACATCCAAACATATCTGAACCAGTATATTACTGTGACTCATGAAAGAAACAAAGAATAAGTAATCATATAATCTACCACTCATAAACAGCGCCCTCTCATGAAAACTGAGGAGTTTTGGACATGTAAAGTGCATGAGGGTCTAGAGAGAATGGCAATGGAGGGTGGAGTTTATAGAAAGTGAGGGTCTAGAGAGAATGGCAATGGAGGGTGGAGTTTCTGGAAAGTGAGGGTCTAGAGAGAATGGCAATGGAGGGTGGAGTTTATAGAAAGTGAGGGTCTAGAGAGAATGGCAATGGAGGGTGGAGTTTCTGGAAAGTGTGGGTCTAGAGAGAATGGCAATGGAGGGTGGAGTTTCTGGAAAGTGTGGGTCTAGAGAGAATAGCAATGGAGGGTGGAGTTTATAGAAAGTGAGGGTCTAGAGAGAATGACAATGGAGGGTGGAGTTTCTGGAAAGTGTGGGTCTAGAGAGAATGGCAATGGAGGGAGCAGTTTCTGGAAAGTGTGGGTCTAGAGAGAATGGCAATGGAGTGTGGAGTTTCTGGAAAGTGTGGGTCTAGAGAGAATGGCAATGGAAGGAGCAGTTTCTGGAAAGTGAGGTCTAGAGAGAATAGCAATGGAGGGAGCAGTTTCTGGAAAGTGAGGGTCTAGAGAGAATGGCAATGGAGGGTGGAGTTTTGGAAAGTGAGGGTCTAGAGAGAATGGCAACGGAGGGTGGAGTTTCTGGGAAGTGTGGGTCTAGAGAGAATGGCAATGGAGGGTGCAGTTTATAGAAAGTGAGGGTCTAGAGAGAATGGCAATGGAGGGAGCAGTTTATAGAAAGTGAGGGTCTAGAGAGAATAGCAATGGAGGGAGCAGTTTATAGAAAGTGAGGGTCTAGAGAGAATGGCAATGGAGGGAGCAGTTTATAGAAAGTGAGGGTCTAGAGAGAATGGCAATGGAGGGAGCAGTTTATAGAAAGTGAGGGTCTAGAGAGAATGGCAATGGAGGGTGGAGTTTCTGGAAAGTGTGGGTCTAGAGAGAATGGCAATGGAGGGAGCAGTTTCTGGAAAGTGAGGCAGAGGCTGACCTACATGAAGGTGGATACACGACAGTAAAGATGCATTGGCTATAAAAGCACACAGGGCTGGAGAACTTGCTAGAGAAAGAGAGACTTTCAGGTGTACCGCCATGAAGAGAGAGACGTTCTGTAAAGTACATGCTGATTGATTGATGACCCGCCATACCTGTCATAAAATTAGACGAAGGGTGGGGATGGCTGTCTCCTCCAACAGAACAATTTGGCTGCAAATTATTACTATTGAATGAGCAGCATCAACATTAGAGGGACTTGCATGGATCTGCAAGAGCATGAGGGAATGAAAGAGCAGATTTGTTCACCATGAATATCAGGAAGGAAATGAGAGTGAAGGAAGAAATAATTGCAGAAAGGATGAGAGCTGAGCGTCTGAAAAGAAACTGATTAAACACAGATGTTGACAACAATGGTCCTGAAATCCCATGCTGTCATTGTGGGGGCGGGTCTTGCTAATCACTCACCATCACCATGGGTTGTGAGTTCCATACCTCCTCATAGCACAGTCTAATGCTGTCGTCTGGAAAAACGGAAAGGTGCCAGTCATCATCATTGATCAGTAAACCCCTGAATGAATGAATGAATCAAGAATTGACATCACCCCACTTGGCATATTTCCACATATTCTCTGTCCCAGTGCACAGTAGTCAAGAAAGAGTTTTAATACTGGCGATGCTATTTGCATGCAAGGCATATACCAAAAGAGGAGAGGGACGTGGAGCAAGAGGTAGACCAAGAACAAGATGGGAAGATAACATCAGAGAAATTCTACAGAACCAGGATGTGTCTATGGTTGAAGCAGCCAAAAGAGCACAAAGCAGGACCTTATCTCCCTCGACACCTGAAGCGGTAAATGAGGGCGTGAAGAAGAAGAGGAAGAAGATGCTATTTGCAACCTCATAAAAAGCCCCCCACCCAAAATCCCTCTCCACACACACACACACTCACTCTGTCATTCACACATACATACCAACATACATATATTAACACATGCACACATATTCCTGAACAAGACTACAAAAACTTGGTTTGAGTGGTTAAAAACTTAAGGCACTGGAAAATTAAAAATAGGAAAGGAAGAAATCTCCATTGGAAGATGCAAACAAGAAAATGATGATACATCTTATTGTCTCATGTTTATTTCTCACAGGACCACGGTAAGCGAAGGATGCCAGCAGCATGACCCTGGCAGTCTGGATGTTGCTAGGAACATATACAAGCATGTGCTGGAGGCAGCTGATGAATATATAAACATTTATGCCCAGAAAGCCGGAACTGACAACTGCATTTTGATGATGACGGACAAGTCTTATATTGAGGTTAGTGTTGGTTAACTTGATTATGTGTAGTTAATTTGATTATCTGTTGTTAATTTGATTATCTGTATTTAATTTGATTATCTGTATTTAATTTGATTATCTGTTAACCCTATCTTCACCCTGGAAACCTGCAGTTTGGCTGAGACCAAGGGGGGAAAAAACCTCCCCACTTCAAAAAGCAAAATCCATAAAAAAAAATTCTTCTTTTCTTCTTCTTCTTCTTCTTCTTCTTCTTCTTCTTCTTCTTCTTCTTCTTCTTCTTCTTCTTCTTCTTCTTCTTCTTCTTCTTCTTCTTCTTCTTCTTCTTCTTCTTTCTTCTTCTTCTTCTTCTTCTTCTTCTTCTTCTTCTTCTTCTTCTTCTTCTTCTTCTTCTTCTTCTTCTTCTTCTTTTTTTTCTTCTTCTTCTTCTTCTTCTTCTTCTTCTTCTTCTTCTTCTTCTTTCATTGGCTTGAAATAGATAATCTACATCTGCAATGTTGTCTGTAATGTGAACTTCATTGTCTGTTGTAATTCAGTCAGCGACCCATAAAGTTAGACTTTATGGGGCCGTAAGTCTATTTTTTTCACTCCACAATAAATTATGAACAAGCAAAATGTAGAAACATACACATGCAGTAAAAGCAAAAGGCAGTCCCTAGAGATGCCAACACTAATAGTCGCCACCAGAATTGCAGTGTGCTGTTGATGGAAGTGGTCATTGAAATCATATTGGCTATATGCAGGAATATTATTGCATAAGGCACTTAGCCGGATCAAATGCAAACTGACCACTAGTCATTTTGTGAGTATCACTTCATCTTAGTATTGCTAAAACTAAACAGTGTCACCAAATTACAGAAGGTATGAATGATTGACACCTTTCCAGATGACAGTGTTATCTTGCGTTTTGAGTAGGCATGTGACTCACAGACCATGGCGAGTGTGACTAGCAAGACCCGCCTATGTCAAGAAAAGTCTTCCACAATAATAGAATGGGATTTTGGGACCATTGTTACCAACAGAGGGGGCTGCATGGTCTCGAGGTATGGTGTCCGCCTCGAGTGTTAGAGGTTCCAGGTTCAATCCCCAGTGAGGGCTAGGATTTTTTCAAGTGGACTTGGACTTTAGTAATTCCTCCTTGTCTCTGGGTAGTGAGATCAGGTGCCTGTGCCCATTGTTGCGCACATAAAAAAATTCCTTGGCAGTTGGAAATCAAAAAGAGTAGCTTTACGGCTGCACGAGTGAAAAATTGGAGTTAATCTACCAAAAGTATTTTAGGATTCTCGCCGGTGCTAGGGAGCCTGTGCACTGCGCTGAGCTTCATCGGACTCAAATTTGAGTTAGAAGAAAAACGGAGCACTTATGGGTTACTACCCGTGTGCCATGATGTTGATCCATTGTTTCTCACCTCAACAATTGTGTTTAATCTGTTTAAGGTATAAATAGTTGCAACTAATTCACAAATATCCTTTCTCTGCAGAACACGTTTCATGGTGATGCTGCTGCATTTGTTCTAGAGATGGATAAATGCTTGCAGAAAGAGAAAGAACTGCTTTTCACATACCAGGAGGTGGGAACTATATGAATATAGTTTAAAAATACAATTATAAGTAAGAAATTTGCCTTTCACATTCACTATGAACCCCCATACACTTCGTCTGCCCCTCAACACAGAGCCATCTGTATATACAATCACATCACTTGGGCGGGAATTATCATGAATAATTTATTTAACTTCTGATTCTGCAGCACCAGCTGGCCAGTTCCTGCACTCATGTCCCAATGTTATGCCATTGAAAATTGGAGAACCTCTAAAGATATGGATAACAGTTAAATTCCTTAGGAAATTGATGAATATTAACTCTTTCAGGACGGCATTTTTTCTGGGGTTTGGACAGCATTAGTTTTGAGCGAAATGTTTTTAGAGCAACACGACAAAGCTAAAACCTTCCTGAAGAAAAAGTATTGGCTATATCGGGACATTTGTATATCAAATTAAAGATAAATGAGTGCAGAATAAATATAAACTACTTAAATATCAGTATAACAACAAAATATTTTTTAAATAACACAACATTCAGGGATGTTAGACACACATGAAATTATTGACTTAAAAAATTGTGTGCTAACCTTATTTTTTACTTGTTCAACAACACTGCTATCCAATTCTAAGAATGCACATGCATTCTCTGTTCAATTATGTATTAGCTAGTCTTTATTTGAAACAATTATTTTAAATACTTTGGATGTTATAATCATTTTTGTATGACATGTCAATTTTCACAACAACCGAAAATCAGAAAAACAGCTGATCGAAACATTGATCTGATTGAAATATTTTGTGAAATTTTCATATCCTAAACTAAATTATCACTAGCAGATTTGTCACTCAGATATCAGTCATAATATCAAGAATGTTGTCACCATCTGGCAGGGATTCATCAACGACAGAGCAGTATGAACAGTTCTAGACTTTTTCCCTTATCATTTAGTTTAGAAAAATCATGTAAAAATTGAATCACATCTAAATAATTTATTTAAAATCACAAAATAATGCATCGACCACGATAAACGTCGCAAATGAAAGTTCTTCCTGTTGTTGATCCTAATTGTTAACAAAGTTGTTCATAAAAGTTTGTTTTTCCTACGAACCGAGCAAAATTAGAGTGTCTCTATCATGATCCAGTAAACTGGCTATACGCCTTTAAGTTATAGACTCAATAGCCTGTATACTGGCTGAATGCCGTAAAGAGTTAAATGGGATAAATTCAAGAAAAGTAAAGAAATTAGAGAAAAGTCTGGACACTTGCTGGTGTTGTCGGTTATAAGAAAAAATATGTCTGCACATTGGGCACATTATGAGGGGGTATAGAATCCTCAAACAGCTACTAAAATGGGGAAAATGGGTTCAGGAAACCGATGTTTTTGAGAGAGGCCAAAGGTGCTGGATTGGATCTGTCCATGATATTGAGAAGATTGCACAGGATAGACTGGGATGGAAGACTAGACTGATAACAAGCGTGTCATAAAAGATGACTAATTAGGGTGTTTCCTTCAAATCCCGAGTACATCTGCTTGTTATACTATCAAAAGCCAGCCTCCATTGTGGTAATGGCCCAGTTTTGTTTTTTCTTTTCACCAAAAAGCTAAGTTATTTGAGGTATTCATATAGCTGTATCCTTGTTTGTATGTGTTGTTTGCTGATTAAGCCTTTCGTCTGAGCAGCCTAAATCTGGTCACTTCCGGTGGTGCCACGTCCTTGATAAATGGCCATGTCTGCGGTGACCTATCTTCAAAAGGCGTAGTTAAATTTCATTGTTCTTTTATGTGTCTTAAGGTGTTTAATAGGCCAGTATATGAATATATAACTAAAAATGGTATTTGGAGAGGGTTTCCTTATAACCCTATTGGCTTTTGGAAAGCCGTTGACCTCAGGTTTTCCCTGTAAGCCTCAGTGTTAGAGGTCACCGAATGAATCGCCCAATATATTTTGTGTTTAAATATTAGCGCTCCAGCGAATTTATTCCATTTAATGCTTTACTGTCATCAGGTTTATTGATTACCCTTTTATAAATGTTTATGTGATTAAAAAAAAAAATGTAAAGTGACCTTTGTAACATGGTTGATTTTTTTTGGTTAAGACCTGTGTACATGTAATCTTCCACAACAGGAGCAGACAGAAACAGAGATGGTCCAACATACTGAAGACATCATAGGCCAGGCTGAGGATGCAGACATAATAACACAGATTGAAAGACTGACACAGGTAATAGAGCCCTTCAGGGGATGGTGACTGACACAGGTTATAGAGCTCTTCAGGGATGGAGACTGACACAGGTAATAGAGCTCTTCAGGAGTGGAGACTGACACAGGTTATAGAGCTCTTCAGGGGATGGAGACTGGCACAGGATATAGAGCTCTTCAGGGGATGGAGACTGGCACAGGTTATAGAGCTCTTCTGGGGCGGAGACTGACACAGGTTATAGAGCTCTTCTGGGGCGGAGACTGACACAGGTTATAGAGCTCTTCTGGGGCGGAGACTGACACAGGTTATAGAGCTCTTCAGGGGTGGAGACTGACACAGGTTATAGAGCTCTTCAGGGGATGGAGACTGACACAGGTTATAGAGCTCTTCAGGAGTGGAGACTGACACAGGTTATAGAGCTCTTCTGGGGCAGAGACTGACACAGGTTATAGATCTCTTCAGCAATGGGAAGCCAGTAATTTTGGACCGGAGTTATTAAGCATTTGTGATCTCTGAGACCATAGGTTGACAGAGTATGGTCCCCAGCAGTGTCAAAGACACGGAGAAGTACTATGTACGAGGTGAACAGACAGCCCCCATTTCAGAGATTTCTTTCTGTCCTGACGCTGTGAGGCAAAAATCTGCCTAGGAATACTGAACACCTTACTGTTTGTTGGACCTCATTGGAATTGGTTTTGTTTGCATATAACTGTCTTTACTGTCTAGCATGGTGTTGGCGTCACCAAACTGGGCTTACGATACGTTAACGCAGCGATTCTCAAATGTATGTCAGGGGTGCCATGGCAGTAATTAGGAATTTTTCAAAATCTAATTGACATTAAAATTTTACAGTTTTTCTTCATTTCCTAAGTATTCAAACTGCTTTAAAGGTCGGTGTGCTGCAAAATTGTTGGGGGCCTGTCGAAAAAAGGTTTGAGAAACTCCGCATTAACGTATCGTTAACCCGGTGTGGTGACATCAGCAGTATGGCCCCCTCGGTTGGAACCGGTCTTGGTGTAGAACAGGGAGACCGGGAGCATTTAGGGCCACCTGGCTAGTGTACCGGTCACAGACTGTCAAGGTTAGGATTGTATTGTTTCCCCGGGGCAAAAAAAAAACACTGGTCAAAGAGCCAACTCTCTTGCATATAGGAACTAAGAATCTGTATCACTTATATAATTAAACCTCTTCACTGCTACATACCCTGCAGCCAGCATGTACCACTGTGCTTTAATAAAAAAAAAAAGAAGTCAGTGCCTACCCTTTTTCCTATGTTGAATAATTTTGGTATCCTTCAAAGCAAAAGACATGTCAGCTGTGCTGGCTATATTTCGTACACCTAAATGTATAAACCCTAGCAAGATGGGTGATTAGCCTGTATGCTGAGTCAGAGATACTGTATCGAAGTCAAGAAAACTAGCCTTTACAGAAAGGAAAAGCTGAAAGCTTAACAGAGCAAACGCAAAACACTATACTAAGCAAATAAATAGTTTTAATATTGTCAATATTGTTTGCTTTTGTGTGAAATGTTTCAAAGCATGGGTGTGACACACAGTGCCACATCACAGCTTTGCACATGTATCTGGTTTTCCATAAATTTTTGTAATCTTCTCTGTGCCATTAATGATGAGACTTCATCCTCACTGAACTCTGATTCCGATAATGATGAGGATGCCAGACACCCACATAATCTTTTCTCAGCCATGCCAGTTTGTCCCATTGATGTTGATGGCTGGATGATCAGATCATCTTGCTCGCTGCCATTCCTGTCACATTTCAAAGTCATCTTCACTACCACTCCTTGAAAGAAACTCCATTAATTTTTCATCAGCTTTAACTAGTTTTCTTCCCATTTTATATAAATAAAATGTAGACTAAGATACAATCACACATATAATTTGCAGGATACACGAGGTAGGTACCGATCACTGACCACGTGCTCATGGTTAACACAGCAACAGGCTAACATGTTGCATCATCCTACTAACTTAAAGAGACATGATACATGCTGTTTAATCATTTGTAAATGGGTCGCTTGGATCCAAGTATGGCCAATGTGAGTTGCCCTTTGACACCAGAGAATAATCACCAGTAGTCTTTAAGGAAAGTCGAAACATGTCTTCTCATTCATAGCAGTAGTTAGGAGACAGAAACTGGAAGACAAGTTAAGTCGTTTGTAGCTGTATGTGGGCAGACAGTTAAACATGTCCATAGCAGTGAAAGGTTTAAAAAAACAGAACAAAAAACCTATTAAAATAGTTTGTTATTATTGCAGGAAGTGAACAGTAAATTACTTCAGACCAAAAGATTGAATGAGGAGCTTGAGCGTTACTTTAGTGTCACTGCAGAGCTGATGGCATCGCTTACGCAAGGTGATTTCAAATATGCATTTTATTATGCTTGATTTTGCTATACTTTTGTAGTTTCTGTGATTTCAAATATACATTTTAATCACAACTCACGTTTTCGGGCCCAGAAAGAGAGTGACTTCCCTTCCCATTCATAAATTGCCGTGTCGCAGAGCTTGTGCTATGTTGCAGGGGTGTCAGGCTTAGTGACTGGCCAACAAAACACAGCATTTTACTAGTTGTTGTCACCGGCCGTTGATATCGCATGTTCTATATTACAGGATGTGAGCGCTTCCAATGGTCCCTAAACATGCAGAACTGGACGTAGGCTGCACTCTCTTGTGGGACGTAGATGGGTTGGAGAACAGGCTGGTTCTTCATCTTTCAGGCAGAAGCACTCTGGAACCCACACAAGACTTTCTCATCTCAGTTATAAGCGAAAGATTTCACAGAATATTCTTTATTAAGTAAAACACTGTCTTTGCTTGAGCTATCTTACAGTTAACTTCTTTGCTACATCTTCCACCTGCTGTTGTGAATTTACAGCCAGTGAACAAAGAAAAAAAGTACTGGCTGTGACTTAATAATGTGTAGAGATGATGGGTCTGCCTATATTTAAAAAACAAAAGTGAGATATTATTTGGGGTGTTTTAAAAAAAATAGTTTTTTTTCCCCCCAAAAAATTTAAAAACCTGTGATGTCACTTTGTTTCACATGGCTGTCTTATCTTTCACATGACTTTCTTAACAAAACCCCTTTTACATGGTCAAAGGGAAAGAAAGCAGTTAATTTTGTGGTCCATATATATGTAGTGAACAAAAAAATTATCCTTGACCAAAATAGTGACTTAAAGTGGGTGAAAAAAAAAAAAATAATATAAGCTGATTTTTATTATTGACATTATGGCCGCTAATAAGCTGTGGTCTTCACGCTTGCCTGCTGTTCCATAGTCTACGGGCTCGACCCCCTGGATTATTACAAAAACTGTCCAAGACTGCAAATTTTATCGGCTTCTTCTTCTTTTCCTCTAGTTGCTTAGGGCAAAGATTTAGATAATTATAATAAGTAATTTTAAAAAAAATAATTTGGGAAAAGTTTAATTCTTAATATTTGTCTATGACTTGGAATTGCGAATGCACTTTGTAATGCTGGAGTGCCGGGTTCGATCCCAGCTGCAGGTGATTTGGCAGCAGACCATATTGCATTGGTTTCGACAGGGGTATAGAGAGCTGGCAGTTTAGCCATCAAGGACAAACTACTGAACGTAAAATTTTCCTAGAAAACCGCAACAGCCGAAAAATGGTGGGGTTGGTTCTGCAAAGTCCTGTAAAGGATACACAACCACTTTTATGGGGCAGAAGGGTTAACTGCCGATAGTCTCTGGCTACAGTGTGTAAGGTACCTTTATAAATATATATATTTATTTAAAATTAGGAGGTCATGAAGGAATACACAGAAAATATTAACGGAAAGCACTTTTAATGTCGTGGGTTCACTCCCTGGCGGAGCCAGACTTTTTTTTTCAAAAATGACCTTGGCGCCCAGGTCGACCCAGCCTTAAGTGGGTACTGGGTGCAGTCCCGGGAAGTAAAGATGGCCAGTGTGATGCTGACCTCATCACCCATCTTTTGCTGATTGGTCTATAAAATATAGGTCTTGCCCTATACACCCGAAGGCATGGAAAAGGGCCCTTTACTTTTTACTTTTAATGTGAATTGATTGAGAGGCCTATGCTGCACATGTAGATAGAAGATAGGTCATGAAAAACTACCCAAGATAAAGATTTTGTTAAAATATTTGTGTGTGTGAATGAATGAATAAATTAATGAATGAATCAAGAATTGACTTAACTGCACTCAGGACATTCCCACATGTGCTCAGTCCCTTTCTTTGCTTGCCTGTAAAGAGTCATCATGTTAATAATAGTACCAGTTGCAGCCGGGCCTTTCTCCCTTTCAGTTTTTAATATTGAAAATGATTTTTTTTGGGTTTTATTTACATTTATGATCAGGTAACGTTAACCCTGATAGTCTAGGAGATGAAGATTCAGAAGAAATCGGACACTACTCGGCTGAACTTCAAAATTTACATATGAATCATGAACAGACAACATCACAAATTGTGACTTGCAAACAGGTAATGTAAATCGTCTTGTTTGTTTTCTGTTTCTTTCACTTGTTGTGTATCCTCTGATGATGTGCCTTATTTATGTTCCTAGTTTGCTGCTTCCTCCAGTTGTGCTACATCCTTCCCATGTGCTATATCCTCTAATTACGTCCTTTAACTTTTTTTCAGGACATTTCTTTCTTGGGGTTTTGACAACAATTGCGTTCAGCTAAATTTTTTTTTTTTTTTACTGCCACCAGACAAAAGGTAAAACTTCCTGGAAAAAAAATGGCAGTATAGTGACATAAAATATCAAATTAAATAGAAATGAATATGTCAGTTTTCAAGACCAGATGCTGTTTAATATCTACACTTTCTTGATGTTCAGATCTTTTAGAACATTGGTCTCCTCAACTTTTTTCAGGTCATGGCCCCCTTGAGAATATGGCTAGACCCCCCATGCTCCCTTTGAGTATATTTTGAGAGCCCTATGTCCTACACCCCTCTCTCCCCATCCCTGCAACATAACAAATGTGATTAGAAAGAGGACTGTAGATTTTGCAATAAGAGAAACAGACAGTATTGAGATACGTTTTTGGTCAGAATATGTTTTTTCATAATTAAATGCCTGTGTTACCATACTAATTATATTTTTAACTGTAAATATACAAAAATAAAACAAGCGCTTGGCTTTTTGTTTTATAAATAATTTTAAAAAATATTTTACTATATTATTTATAACTGAATTGAAAAAAAAGGTAATATAACAGATTATTACAAATACAAATGCACTAAATTTGAAAATTACTTGACACACCCCCCCCCCCCCCCCCCCCCCCCCCCCCCCCCCCCCCAACCCCCCCCCCCCCCCCCCCCCCCCCCCACCCCCAAAAAAAAAAAAACAACTTCATGCCCCCAAGTTGAAGACCACTGTTTTCAAATGTCAGTATTTCTCCTCTTCTCAGACCCCACATGAGGATAATTATGAATTTAATGCATTTCAGAGTGCAGTGATTGGCATGAGTCAGTTGAGTCTACTGTGTTTACATTTTTCTGAGAAGCTGATTCAAGACTTGCAAGCTTGGAAAATGGCTGAAGCTAAGAGGAGTGTAAAAGTTGGGCCCAAGACTAATACTGGTGCCCTACTGAATAAGTGAGTGTGTTGTTTTGTCTTACTTGAGTCCTCATCTTCATATATCTTCTACTATCAATTTCCTGGTAAGTATCAGCTGGATCTTTTCTCCAGGGTATGCAGCTGTGCTGGGAAATGAAGAAGCAGACAGATTGGCTGACTCTGCACCACTGAATGGTGAATTGATACATGACAAGGCAGATATGGTGATGGTTGTTGGAAGGCAAGGGACTAGATTTGGTCACTTTTAGCTGTAACATGATTAATGTCATATTGGAATATAATTTCATTAAAATAAGCATTTATGCAAACTTGTCATTGGCCTCATTGATGTATGTTATCACACACATACATATGTATAGTTTTTATTATAGAGTTAAAAGTTAATTTTATTTTTATGAACATTTTGTTGTTGTTAAACTCAAAAATGTTATATTTGAAACTTGTAATTGTCTTGAGTGTATGACTAAAGTTATTACGTTTGTAATTCTTTTTTTAAAAGGACATGAAGAAGTTGATCTTATGTTTACAATTGTTTCGATTGTAGGGCAAAGAGATTTGGTGATGCCGTTAACACGGTTTTTGGTTGGTTTTCTGATGATGGTGTTATACAGTCTATTCGTGAAGCTGAGCAGATACAGAGTCCAAATCTAGGGGAGTTTTTTCTGGAAGTTGGCAGAATACAAATGGAGTTTCAGAGAATTCTGTGTAGTTTTATTCAAATGTAAGTAATGTTTTTAACTTCCTCTGTATACATCACCACTCTGTGGTTCAATGTTTCATTATTTTTTATTTTTTGTTTCCTGATTTTGTTTTTAGTTTTTTTAGTATTTTATCTTCACATCTTCATTATGTTTTTTCTTCTTGTTCTTTTCTTTTTCTTCTTCTTCTTCTTGTCCTCCTTATTTTTCTTTTTCTTCTTCTTCTTCTTCTTCTTCTTCTTCTTCTTCTTCTTCTTCTTCTTCTTCTTCTTCTTCTTCTTCTTCTTCTTCTTCTTCTTCTTCTTCTTCTTCTTCTTCTTCTTCTTCTTCTTCTTCTTCTTCTTCTTCTTCTTCTTCTTCTTCTTCTTCTTCTTCTTCTTCTTCTTCTTCTTCTTCTTCTTTCTTCTTCTTCTTCTTCTTCTTCTTCTTCTTCTTCTTCTTCTTCTTCTTCTTCTTCTTCTTCTTCTTCTTCTTCTTCTTCTTCTTCTTCTTCTTCTTCTTCCTCCTCCTTCTCCTCTTCTGCACTCATCCTTTAAAAAAAGGAAGTTGGCACATTATGTTGTGGTTTACAGCTATGCTGCAGCTTATTACATCCTGTTTCAGGAAATCCTCAATTATCCACTTTTACAATGTGCTTGTTGAGAGGCAGTGAGTACCCTTCCCTCCCTCCTCTATGCCCCCCACATTTATTCACTAGAAGCTACTCAGGGAATGCACCTCAACTTACGCCTAACAATTTTCATCCTAGGAGGTTTCAAGTTGTCATTTTGATAGTTAATTCTGGTAAGTGTGTTAATTAAAATAGTATGGTCATAGCTTGTAGAATGTCTTGTTCACATATAAATGTATTTTAAAGATTATTTTATTTATCATTCACATATAAATGTGTTTTTGTATTCTTTTTCACACATCAGATGTCTTACCGATTGGTTTGGGCACCCGTACTTGTCAGCATATCCAATAGTGTCAGTTTGCATTCTGACACCTTTATTAGTGCCACGACAATAAACGGTCAAGAAATTATTTGTTTCCCTTCCCATCCTTCTTTCTATCAATTATTCCAGTTGTCACTTCAGTTTTAGCTTTAGTCTTTCTCATCTCAAAAAGTGCTTATAATGTGTTTCACATGTAAAGGTATTTAAAGCCCATATTTTATATCTTGTTTACATATAGTTTTTTTTCAAAGACCATATTTTCTCAATGTAAATTTATTTTCAAACTGATTTTATAATACCAGCTTCTTCATCTTTTCAGAGTTCATGCCTGTGGCATTGGTAGTTATGCCTATGTATAACTTTCCATCTCATATACTTTCACCCATTTCTGACACAGCTGATCTTCAATGTCTTGATGTCAAACTGCCCAGTAACTTCTGTCTTGGACTCACTGCCTATTTTTCCCTCCAACTTTCTGTCACAATGTACTCCAGTTTTCTCCTTCTCATGTCATGACCAGAGAATGTAAATTGTCTTTTTCTGATGTTGGAAATCAGTTATTTTGTAAGGCAGTTTCTTTCAAGACATCATTAATCTTTTTATATGTCCAGGGAGTTTTCATTGTTTGTCTATAAAGTTACCTGTCCACTGCTCCCAAATAATTTTTCCCTAATTTATTTCCTGCTCATGATTCACTTTTGTATATCAGGATTGGTTCTATTTAGCTGTTAAGGACTCCTTATCTGAGCTGACAAAGAAATATTGCTGAAAATTGTTTTTATTCTGTGAAATGATTCCTTTGCTTGAACTATTCTACAAAATGATTATGCCACATCTCCAAATATATTCACAATTCATGTTTTATTATCTTCATCAAATTTGTTATTCTGTGACCAACCAGCATTGTCACTGCCCAGCCAAAAGGTGTGGTCAGTATTGAGAACAAAGGCAAGAAGGACTCCCCTAACTATTGCACCAAGAAGACCCAGCCCTTTTCCTCAATTATCAGGTAAATTCACTCTCAGATTTGTGAATTGTTTTGTTTCATGTCTTAATGTGCCACACTGGCAAATTGGTTCATTAAAATAGTTTGGTCATGGTATGTAGAATGTCTTTTTCACATATAAATATATTTTAAAGACTTTTTTTCTATCCAGTTTACATGCGAGCGTGCGTGTGTGTGCGGGGTGTGGTGCGGGGTGGGTGGGTGTGTGCGCGCGCGCGCGTGTGTGTGTATGTGTGGGGGGGGGTGCGTGGGTGCGTGCGTGCGTATATATCAACTATAAGCTACTTTTGGCAATAATGCTAAACAGGATAAAACATATGTCAGAGACATAAAGGGAGATTACCAAGCGAGTTTTCAACAGAACAGATCAATAGTAGATCAGATAATCATTTTACAGCAAATAGAGCGCAGTTGGAAATATAGAAGAGATGCACATAATGTTTTTGTGGATTTTAAAAAGGCGTATGACAGTGTACATAGAAACAGTTTATGGAATGCTATGAAGGACTTGGGAATCCCAAAAAAGTTAATTACCATGACCAAACTATGTATGAAAGACACTTGTAACATATAATGGCAGAGGGTCAGACATTTCTCAGATAACATCTGGTTTAAAGCAAGGTGATGCTCTGTCCCCACTTCTTTTAAACTTGTCCCTGGAGAAAATTATAAGACAATTTAAACAAGAATACTTGGATATGCAAATGACAGTGATATCGTTGGAAAAAATGAACTAGAGACTGTTAAAACACTGACTGTCTTAAAAGAATCAGCACAGAAAATGGGACTAATTATCGATCAAAATAGTTGTTAACATGCTGAGAGAAGAAATAGTATAGAATACAATCTGGAAGTAAAGTATACTATGCCCTGCAACATCTGCTAAATTCAGTCTCTATCTCGCAACAGCATGATCAAAATATACAGAATGTTGGTAAGACAGTCATTTTATGTGGCTCTGAAATGTTGAGCACAGCTAAAAGAGATTTTGCCTTATTACAAATTTTCTTTCATTAAATATACAAACAGAGAGGAATAGAGAGAGAGAGAAGCAACAAAGAAAGTCAAAATCTGTTAAAATCATGATTGATCACTGGCAACCTGAGAGCTAAGAGACTGAATGTCAGATGACAGAGAGGTAAAAATTATATACACAGGGAAGCTGAATGGTTGTAGCCCACGAGGCAGACCAAGAAGACGATAGAAACATAATGTCCAGACAGACTTGCAAACACTTGGTGTCACCACTTGAAAAGTGAAGGCCAAGAATAAAAAGATATATATATATATGAAACACATGAATGGAGGATGAATAGACTGAAGGTTACTGCTTTGATCTCTGGCTTGAGCAGCCCAGATTCCTCTCAAAGTGTTGACTGCATTTTTACAAAATGTGAAATAGGACGGTATATTTCTTTTGAATATGAGTTAGTGGATGAGATGTTTAAACTTTTTGGATAAAAGCTTAAAACTCAGATCCATGCTGAGCATCTGAAAAATCTCTTTGTAGTTGGAAATTGGAATAAACTACTGTCAAGGCTAAATTTCAGATTTATAAAACTCACCTGAAAGGGAATATTTATAGCTTGTGCGATTCTGTACAGTGATATCAGTATGGCAACATTGCAGGGAATCATGTGGATATACTGTCTGGGACATGCAGGAGTGCAAGGAAATGAAAGAGTGGATTTTATGGCTACAGAGGTGATAGCTATGGAAACACTCGTACTGGACAAGGGAGACATTCTGAAGACCATACATGAACGAATGTTGACAGGAGTCACAAGATTAGATGAAATAGCATGTGTAAGAATATGCGAACACGGAATTAGGAGTTAATCCAGCAGGATGGGCAATGGAAGAAAGAGAACAAGGTGTGTATAATCAGTGTGCTATGGGAGCATTTAGCTACACCTTAAGAAATTCGCTGCCAGAGACGGTGCATCTATGGGTATGCCTGGTGTGCTTTGATGTCGATTCTTAAATCAGTGATGAACATAAAATGGGGTAAATTCAAGGGTGGTGAAGAAATAAGAGAAATGTCTATGCAACCATTGGTAACAACAGTTATAAGAGACAAAGAAGATAGTGCTATATTGGGCACATCCTGAGAGTAAAGAAGCAGATCATCTCCAGACAGGCAATGAAATGGGAAAGAATGGGATTGAGGAAGCAAGGACGCCCAAGAAGAAACCTTAAAATGAATGTTGATGAGAGAGGCCAAAGCTCCTGGACTGGATTTCATTCATGATATTGCACAGGATAGTACAGAATGAAGGAATAGACGGCGGGCCCTATGTGACATAGAGTGGCATAACAGGACAATAATCATTCTTCTCTAAAATCTTCATCACTTCTAGAGAGCTTAAAATGCTTTCATATTGCTTTCATAATGCTTTCATATTGCTTTCATATTTTCCAGGGTTTTGGCTGCAGAAAGCTTCCCAAGTTTTCATATTCTGAGCAAGAAAGTTGAACTGGTAGCCGAAAAGGACTTGGCGCAAGGATCAAATGCAGAAGTGGTTGGCAAAGATGGTCAGTCTTGTTTGAAAGTGGAAGCCTCAACTGGAAATACATTGCCAGAAATCCAGTTCAATATTGAAGTAAAGAACTTTTGTAGGGTCGAACAGAACAATGTGTACAAGCAATTCTTCAGGCTTTTGTATAAAGTGAAGGTGTCAGTACGTGGAACTGAATATATTTTAGAGGTATTTGTACTGTTATTCATTTCCCTTAGAATCATCATCATCACAATACATCATCACTAGATAATTATTTCTTCATGACAACAATCACATCTTCTTCACCCATTCAACATCATCATTATCATCAGCCCGACCACCACCACCACCAACAACATCATCATCATCCATTGTAGTAGAATGGTAACATTAACGAGTTTGCATTTATTCGTTCTGTCAGAATCAGCATCACCACCATCATCACATCATCTTCAAGGCAATGAAATAGCGGACAGATTGGCCAGAAGCGGCAGTGACATGGTACAACCAAATAGCGACTTAACCCACCAAGAGATGAAAACATTAATACAAGCTAGTATCCAAGAAAGGTGGCTCGATACCCACCCCAGATTTTCTCCCCAAGACTCACTTCATCGCCTCTCTAGAGAGGGACAGTGCATTTTATTCAGACTAAGGACAGGGCACAACAGATTTCGTCAACATATGTTCAAATGTTTCGGTGTTGGAAATTCGGAGACGTGTCCCTGCAGCGTGGCACCCGAAAATGCTGAGCATGTGCTCCAACACTGTCAACTGTATGCTGACAACAGAGACGCAATCTGGCCTGTTCCAATCACACTGAAGACAAAACTGCATGGTACACAAGAGGATATGGATTGCACGATAGCTTTCATAATGGCTACCGGCCTCCTGATATAAGTTTTCTGACAGAAGGATCGAAGAAGAAGAAGAAGAAGACATCATCTTCATGACCATCACGGCATGTTTATCACCAGTTCAGCATCATCATTACCAAAACCACAACTACCACCATCATCGTCTATTGTAGTGAATTAACAGTGTTAACCAATTTCAGTAAAAATTTTTCCAACCACTTCTAGGTTTGTCGTTAATTTATATATTAATCTAATAAGTAAGACTTTTGTGAGAACCAAGTGATGACTGAATCTGCAAAAATGACCAGACTGCAAGAACATCAAGTTAAAAAGAGTGTGGCCAGACAAGAGCTTTGTGGGAAGCCAAAGATGTATAAGAAACCAACATAGAACCAGTGTCATCAGCCACTACTTGCTGTTTACTGAGGAGGGAATTCAAGCACTTATGGAGTGAAAGATTCACTGTACAATGCGGATTATCCAATCAGTCGACTAACTAACTAACTAACTAACTGACTGACTGACTGACTGACTGACTGACTGACTGACTGACTGACTGACTGACTGACTGACTGACTAACTAACCAACTAACTAACTGACTAATTGACTAACTGTTTGAATCTGTTAATCATAATAACATCAACAAGTTCATAAGTTTGAAGATACCCCACCATTTATAGGTAATGTGACGACACGCCTGGTAACTCCAGAACATGTTTTCCCCAACTTAATTTTTATCTATATATTTTTTGTTACAGAGAAAAATAAGCTCCTGGGCTTTAACCTAAATCTAGGTCAACCTAGAACAAAGCTATTTAATTTCCCTGGACTGTTGTTGATGTCTTTTCACCTGGACTTGGACTTCTAGTAATTCCCCCAGTCTCTGGGTAGTGAGATCAGACACCCGTTAAAAATTCCTTGGCAGTTGGAAATCGAAAAGAGTAGCCTAACAGGACTGCCTGGACAAGATAGAAAGATTAGAAATCTACTAAAAGTGTTTCAGGATCCTCGCAGGTGCTACGGAGCCTGTGCACTATGCTGAGCTTCTTTGGTTAGAAGAAGAACAGAGTTAGGGGTTACTAACCGTGTGCCATGATGTTGATCCGTTGTTCAAAACCCCGAAAACCCTTTACTGACACAGGGTAGAACCAAATGGGATCCACTTTAGAAAAGTATGATCAGTAGATGGGCAGTCAACTGACTGACAGCCAAAAGGAAAGATAATTGTAGTCGGAAGGAACTTTCATGGGTGGAGCTTAAAGTCTCTCCTGAAAGAAAGAGTTTGATTCAGACGAGAGGAGGAGCTAACCCTGCTAGAGGGAAGTTTTAATACAGTGAGGAGTCTAGTCTAGAATTCACTTCAGACTGTGGCCATCAAGCCACGAATGAGCTACACTAGAAAATCTAGTTGTGTGAGTCTTTTTTGGCAAATTGTTGGCATTTTCCTAGTTACCTTCAGGACAAGGACCAGTCAGCACATATCAGTAGCAGAGGGTCTAAGTGTATGACCTGCTTGAAGCAGTGAGGATGACAGACTTAAAAAAAAAGATGGGCAATCTCAACCTGAGACCTGCCCCGGGTTTACAAGTTATGTTCATAAGAGTTATTATCATCATAACACCATCCTCAATCTGCTATGATATGCGCATATTGAGCTCACTGAATTAACTTTTTACAGTCACTGAGCTATTATCTTTTATGATTGCAAGATCAATATCATTCACTTTATTTTGTTTAGACTAATAATAAAATCTTGTTAAAGTTATAAAATAGTTGAGTAAATTGTGTACTTAGGCTCAAATGTCTTGGTACATACTAATTTACCTCAGCTCATTTATGTTTAAATCACTTGATGGGGTTGTTGTTAAAACATAATACCAGGAGGGGAGAAAGTCGGTGGGGTTATCTGTGTATCTTGATATTCTCTCATTGAATTCATCTTGATATCTAACTATCCCTTTTCCTACTCCTGTGGATACTGGTACAACTACTTCAATTTTATTCTAGCCACTTTTGGTGTTTTCTTGGTTATCCAAGATTTTGTCTGGGATCAACATAGCTCAGATATTAGTTCAATGTCTCATGCGCAGTGTTAGGATTCAAACCCACACACTCACTATATAAGTGAATATCCACGTGGGGTTGGCGACAGGTAATTGTTACATTTATATGGAAATATATTCATCATTATCATCAAATAGCATGCCCTTTACAAAACATCACTCCCATCACAGCTGCTTGAAAGAAATTCCATCCCTCACCAGCTTTCCTGTCTAATGCATATTCAAGGCCATGGTGTCTCTAATATCTTGTCGTCATCTTATGTGCTGTATAGCCCCAGCCCTTCTACTCCTGTGCTGTACTCCCCTCTGCTGTTCTTTCTAATCCACCATGATGTTTGATAAGGCAAAGTATGTCAGTTTTCAAGACAAGATGCTGTTTACAAGCCAATTTTTCTTTTATGTTCTGTTGATTTGTCAGCACTAGTAAAATATGTGGCTACATATTGATGTGAGTTGTGGACTATCTCTCAGTCCTTAAGAAAGAGTCAGTCCTTAAGAAAGAGAATAGGGGCTTTTGAGCTGAAATGCTAAAGAAAGATTCTCAGAATATCTTGGACAAAGAAGAGGAGAAATACTGACATCTTGAAAGATCTGAACATCAAGGAAGATTGGCTAATAAACAGCATTCTGTCTCAGAAGCTGAAGTATTTTGGTCATACAAAGTGCCACGACGGATTGGAAAAAAATATAGCAGAAGGCATGGTACAGGAAGGAGGGGCAGGGGCCAACCGACACAAAGATGAGCACAGGATATAAGTGACTCCTCGAGTGTGAAAGTGCATGAGGCGGGAGAACTGGCGAGAGACCGTTTCTTTCAGGCAGACTGTGATGAGAGCGACGTTCTGCAAAGGACCTGCTACATGATGATGAGGAAAATATAAAGATGTTCCACCACTTCTAGATCATTTGTTGTATTTATATGTTTGAGGAAATTGATTAATATAACTTTATGATTTCATATTTTCTTTCAGACAATGTCATTACCTTTCACCTTCAATACTGGAGCGAATCAGATTCTAGAGCACATGGGAGCAAGGATGTGGTATTGTGCCAGTGTCGAAGATTTGGTCAGTTTTATATTTTTTCACTCTTCCATTCCATTTGTAATATCTGTTTTCATCTTCTCTGGTTTTTAAACATTTTTTTTTCTCTATTTCCTGTTCATATTTTATTTGTTTCTTTTTTTCTTTCCATACATTTTTTCCAGCCTTCTTTCATTTTATTTTTTTCTTCTTCTCGTCTGTCCAGTTTGTTTGTTTTCTTCTTTCCAGTTTATTTGTTCCTTTCTGTCATTTTATTGTTTCCCCTGGTCTCTTCAGTTTTGTATTTGTTTCTTTTCTCTTGTTTTATTAGTGTTCCCACTTTCTCTCCTTCTGATTTATTTCTCGTTGTCACTGCATTTTTTAAATTTTTATTATCTTGTTTTATCACAACTATTTATTGTATAAAAGTAGAGTTTTGACAAGTCATTGGTGGAGCTATGGAGATCATCCTTTGTGTGACACTCTTGGCAGGTGATTGGCCACTCTGTTGAGAGACAGTCTCATGGGATAACCTTGGGCAAGAAAGTCAATTTTAATTTTACTTATTTTTCTTTTTATGTATGGGGGTATTTTTTCCATGTAAGGTTAACTCTTTCAGTCCCACATGGCCAGATCTAATGTCCAAGAGGAACAAGAATGCCACCAGTAAACTCATGTTAATACAAATTCTGCAGGGGTGAAATACATAATCCCTGTAGGAGAAAAATATGTTTTCTGAGTTTTTTTTTTTTTTTTTAAAGACTGATTGACTAAACATGAGATATAAAAACATATATAACACAACACATTGATAATGTAATGACTGAATATCCAGTCTGAGACACAAAGAGTTGATAGCACTGCTGCCTATAACTGAGTATCTGGGGTTTAATTCTAGGAGAAGCACGAATCTTGATTTGGAAAATCAGCACTCTTTATTTGCTTCATAAGTTTTTGCTGAAAAAATATCAAACCAAATGAAAAGTATATCAGCAAGCTTCACAATATAACAAACACAAACCAAAGGTGAACATTGCAACTATAAAGCCTTCATCAGCACATACATAAATAAAACAATACCACACAAAAACACTTAGCTCAGTATCTTGAAGTGGCCAGGTCGATGTTTTGTCAGTATCATTTGCTGGATAACTAAACCAAACTGGAGTTACAAGATTATTTCACAAAACAGACTTTGCTTTTCTCTATCTATTTCTCATTCTGTTATTTCTGGACTTTCTGTTATTCTTTGTGTCTCCTTCTGTCTCTCTTTTACCGTTTGTCCCTCTTTTTCTCTGATTTGTCAAACCACTGCAGTGAGATTGCTAATGTGATAGTGAATTCATGTTTTTTATACTGTCATATGATGGACTCCATTCACCATGCTTGAGGACCTTGATTTTGCAGATAGCACTCATATCACATAAACATAAACATATACAAAAGAAAAATAACAGACTAAACTGCACAGCAGAAATGGAAGGACTGAAAATAAATACAAAGAAAACTAAGATCATGACAAACAGTCCAAACCAACAACCAGTGACCATAAATTACCAAACACTTGAAAATGTAGGACATATCACATATCTTGGCAGTGTGGTGTCCCTACTGGGAGGGACAGAGGAAGACATACAGTCATGCCTGAGCAAAGCTAGAGCTGCTTTTGGAAGGATGAGGCAAATTTGGAAATCTAACAGTTACTGCAGAGGAATTAAACTCCGACTCTGCAAGAGCATAATTTTGCCAGTTCTTCTTTATGGAGCAGAAAGCTGGAGAATGACCATAAAGGAGGCACACAAGCTGTTCACCTTCCACCACACATGTCTACGTAGAACTATCAAAATTTTCTGGCCAAATACAATCTCAAACACTAAACTACTTCAAGTCACAAACCAAGAAATTATAGACAGTATGATAACCAAGAGTAGATGGAAATGGCTTGGCCCCATTATGAGAATGAATCCTGATATACCTGCCAGAACAGCTCTCTCATGGATACTAGAGGGAAAGAGAAAAAAACGGGCGCCCAAAAACAACATGGAGACGAACGATGGAAAGTGACCTGAGTGCGGCATCTCTAACATGGAAAACTGCACTGAAGATTGCACAGGACAGGAAAGCACAGGAAGTCCTCTCTGAAGCTTCATGAGCCATTAGGCCTAACGAGAACTGATGATACTGGAACTTACATGTATTGTCTATCTGCTGTTAAGTTTCAGTCAAAATAAATCATTGTCTTGAAACTTTGCTTGTTTCATCAGTACAACAGTGGATTTCAGTGTCCAGATCCCCTCTATACAGATGAAGTAATCAACATCCTTGAGAACAGAATAGCTTACATTGGCAACAAGACCAGACGGCTGACAGCGCAGGAGAAGACTTTCCTCAGGGGAAGGCTTCCAGGTAATCATGACCAAAGAATTTACTTTTCTTTGAGAAGATTAACACTGTCCTTGTTCTGTATGTCTTCTTTTGCTACCTTTCATTTTCAGATGGATTTCTGATGGCCTGGACAGAAGTATTTTTTTTTAAGAATGCACACAATCCTTGTATGCTTTATTGTTCTGCTTTTCGTTTTCCAGTTGAGCATAAGCTGTTAACTGACTCTCAGAAATATCTTTATAGACTTGTTTTGATCGGTTGGATTTTATGCATATTTATTCTTATATAGTACTTCTGCTTTTTATCTGACTTTGATAAATATTTTTGTAAGCTAGTTCCAGATAAATGACAATATCAGAATGGGTTCTGTTAGTCAGGTTAAGTGTTAAATTAGTAGATGCAAATATTATATAGGTCTATGCTCTGGCAGACAGTTCACAGGAAGAACACAATAATTTTTATAACCAGCTCAACATAGTCTTAGTACAGTGTAAAAAAGATAAACAACTAGTGCTAGGTGATTTTAATGCAAAGGTTGGGCAAGAAGAGGATGAAGACTTTTCAAGCAAGTTGATATATTCAACTACTCGGGTACCCTGATAACATCGGATGGAAGATGTGTTAAAGAAGTTTAAATGTAGAATAGCTTAAGCAAAGGCAGTATTTTACAAAATGGAGATCATTTTATTCAATTTTTCTTTGTCATTTGTGACAAGAAAGAGAATTCTCAAAAGCTCTGTAAATCCCATATTGATTTACGGAAGTAAATCCTGGACAGTTGGTAGATTATTGAACAAGGCTGTGAACTGTGAGGCAAGTGGCTTAACCACTTAGCAGAGGAGACCCCTCTTATTAATTCTTCTTCTTCTTCTTCGCGTTCAATTCTGGCAAATTTTGTGTACTACTGTTCCTGCTCCAAACCTGAGTTTGCGTGTGCATCAGTTTTACAGATCTCATTCTCTTATACACTGAACGTTCCTTGCCTTAATGCACTACTTATTTCTCACATTTTGGGGAGGCAGTTCTTGTTTTCCCCAAAACCCACATGGGGGTCTTATTAATTGAATTTCATACATGAAGGGTATGGTATACATGGCTTCGCAAAAATGTGAATTATCTTATACATGAAGGGTGTGGTATACATGGACAAATGGGGCAACCATTTTAGGCTAACATTGTTATGTCGTTTCTAGGTTTGTCAGTTTTACTCATAGTTATGAAAGGATATGTTTTTTTTTTAAAATCAGACACTCTGTTTGTTAGGTGGATTTATTTTCTTCTGTTCTGAGTCCTTGAGGTTCATTGCTGCAGATAACACCTGCCTCCATTCATCTCTCTGGTTGGCATTTTTCTTTCCACTGAATGGTCCAAGTGTTTTTAGGTCTGCCTGGTTGTTGTCTCTCCAGTGTCTTCTTGGTCTACTCCCATTAAAACCATATTTTAGCAGTGTTTGTTTCTCTGTTGTCTGTCACTCTGTATGCCCCAGCCATTGTAGTCTGTTAACTCTCATGATGCAGGTAACTGGTGGTGATTTAACCAGATTATGAATGTTGTTGTTGTTTCTCTCTGAGCTGGATTATCTTCACAGCACTCTGGGCACATCCATTGGTGCTCAGATCCCCCCTTCAGCATACTCATCTGCGTCGCATGTTTAATAGTGCCAGTCCTATGCAGGATAACAAGTCTTTCTGTGTGTCTGGTGTGCCTCTCATGCTTGGCTGTGCCGATCTTTACTCATAATCTTAGCAGTGATGTGAACACACTGCTTCTAAAATCCTCGGAACGTCCTGTCTCTCTAAGAGCATTAACAATGTCGCCGTGAGCCATAGGCTGGCGATCTGCAACTAATGTAGAACCTGTCAGTCTACCACATCAGCTCTTCCTTTGCCAACAACACCTGCATGCCATGGGACAAATTTGATGGTAACTGCCCACACAGGAGAGTTTTGCAATGATTCAATCCACTGTCTGTGTATGAAGACTGCCTTGATCAGCCGGATATTGCTAATAGAATCATTCAGCACACACAAGTGGGTATTGTCCTGTGATTCTTGCCACATGAAAGCTTGTGTCACCACCATCACCTCCATCGTCATACTGCTGGTAGTCATGGAGAAGGCACCCCTGGCTTCTTTTACTCTGCTGGCTGAAGAGCAATTGTATGTCCTTGTATAGCGGACCCGTTTGTGTAGATAGCACATCTCTCTCTCTCTCTCTCTCTCTCTCTCTCTCTCTCTCTCTCTCTCTCTCTCTCTCTCTCTCTCTCTCTCTCTCTCTTTCTCTCTCTCTCTCTCTCTCTCTCTCTTTCTCTCTCACTCTTTCTCTCTCTCTCTCTCTCTCTCTCTCTCTCTCTCTCTCTCTCTCTCTCTCTCTCTCTCTCTCTCTCTCTCTCTCTCCTTGTGGATTCATATTCTTATTAAATTTTGCAGTTGCTAGTGACGGTACAGTGACAATGCAAGGTTTCTTGAAGGTGAGCTCATTTGTTTATTTTCATGAAACATTTTATATTTGTGTGTGTGGTCATGTTCTTTTATGGCATTGTTGTGTTCTTTTATAGCTTTTATAGCAGCATAGTGTTCTTGTATTTGAGTGTTGTATTGCCTTTTGGCTTTGTTGTGTTATTTTATTTCATTTTGTTCTTTTATAACAGTGCAATGTATTTTATGACAGAATAGTGTTCATTTGTGACAGAATAGTGTTCATTTGTGACAGAATAGTGTTCATTTGTGACAGAATAGTGTTCATTTGTGACAGAATAGTGTTCATTTGTGACAGAATAGTGTTCATTTGTGACAGAATAGTGTTCATTTGTGACAGAATAGTGTTCATTTGTGACAGAATAGTGTTCATTTGTGACAGAATAGTGTTCATTTGTGACAGAATAGTGTTCATTTGTGACAGAATAGTGTTCATTTGTGACAGAATAGTGTTCATTTGTGACAGAATAGTGTTCATTTGTGACAGAATAGTGTTCATTTGTGACAGAATAGTGTTCATTTTGTGACAGAATAGTGTTCATTTGTGACAGAATAGTGTTCATTTGTGACAGAATAGTGTTCATTTGTGACAGAATAGTGTTCATTTGTGACAGAATAGTGTTCATTTGTGACAGAATAGTGTTCATTTGTGACAGAATAGTGTTCATTTGTGACAGAATAGTGTTCATTTGTGACAGAATAGTGTTCATTTGTGACAGAATAGTGTTCATTTGTGACAGAATAGTGTTCATTTGTGACAGAATAGACATTTGACAGAATAGTGTTCATTTGTGACAGAATAGTGTTCATTTGTGACAGAATAGTGTTCATTTGTGACAGAATAGTGTTCATTTGTGACAGAATAGTGTTCATTTGTGACAGAATAGTGTTCATTTGTGACAGAATATGTTCTTGTATGGAAGTGTAGTTTTCTTATATGGCATTGCTGTTCTTTTATGGCACTGGTGTTTTATTTTATGACAGTTCAGTGTTCTTTTATGTTAGTGTAGTGTTCCTTTATGACAGCATGTGTTTTTATACAGCCATGTTATGTTCTTTTATGATAATGCAGTGTTCTTTTTGACAGTGTAGTGTTTTTTGTGGCATTGTTGTGTTTCATTTGTGGCATTGTTGTGTTTCATTTGTGGCATTGTTGTGTTTCATTTGTGGCATTGTTGTGTTTCGTTTGTGGCATTGTTGTGTTTCATTTGTGGCATTGTTGTGTTTCATTGGTGGCATTGTTGTGTTTCATTGGTGGCATTGTTGTGTTTCATTGGTGGCATTGTTGTGTTTCATTGGTAGCATTGTTGTGTTTCATTGGTGGCATTGTTGTGTTTCATTTGTGGCATTGTTGTGTTTCATTTGTGGCATTGTTGTGTTTCATTGGTGGCATTGTTGTTTCATTGGTGGCATTGTTGTGTTTCATTTGTGGCATTGTTGTGTTTCATTTGTGGCATTGTTGTGTTTTCATTTGTGGCAGCAGGTGATATTTTATGACATCATTGTGCTCAGCCTTTTTTTCCTCTGGTGGTAAGAACAGTACTTAGTACTGGCATCTTTTAGGCATCATTTATTTCTCAGCACTGCTGTAAGAGACCTTTTGCAGTCCCATAAATGCCGTTATAGTGCCATTTTTGCAGGGACCTGTTCTTGAAAAGCAAACATTAAATGCCATTTGTTCTATGTGCGCCTGTGTAGTGTTTAGGAGGCAGGGTTGTGAATATATTACAGTAGAGCCTTTCTAATTTACACTTTTGAGAACATTTGGGTCCCACTAACAGAGCGGCACATAGAGCTAAGACTATCCAGTTCAGAATGGCAATATATCAGCATTACTGGGGCTTTGATGCAAGTTTGAACCCAGGACTCTGAACCCAACGGAGAAGCATCTAACAACTGCTCTACTGTGGTTGCCTCTGTTGCCATTAACATGTATTTAATCATACTTCATAACAGGACAAGATGAAGACACTGAGGAGTGAGGAACCTTTGAATTATTCTTTCTACACATGGTTCTACTCAGTTATACACACACTTGAACAGCTGCTGCTGAATGCCTGGCAGGATGGGTATGTGTTTATCATATCTGTAATGTATGTGTAAGGTATGTAATGATATGTGATCTGCAGTTGGTAGAGACGGTGGTGGTAGAAAGCAATAAATTGGCCTCAGCTTAAATAATGGGCTGACAGAAGTAATGGTAATATCAAAGAATAGAGCAGTAAAATACGAGTCAAAAGGAGTTATTTAAGGACAGATAAAGAAATTTAAGCATCGGAACATCCAATTGAAGACGTATTCTAGAGACAAAGAACAGAACAGGACAGGCTAAAACTGCGTTTTATAAAATAAAGAACATTTCATGCAATAAACTTTTGTCATTGGAGGTTGGAAAATAATTCTTGCATGCTGTGTAGAGGCAATTTTAATGTCTGGCTTTGAATCCTAGACAATTAATAAACAAGCTGAGCAATTTCCTGTAGTTTTACAAAAGAATCCTTATAATTCCTTAACAGCCACAAATGAGCAACCCAGATGTTTCGAAAGTGGCAAGAACTTGAAAGCAACTTATCATAAACATCAGAAAGAGACAATCATCATTTTTGGGTCATGTTATGAGAAGAAGGAAACTAGAACATGATGTGACCACTGGAGAGATCTGTAGAGAAATAGACAGAGGAAGACAGTGTGAGACAATTCTCGACAGCCTTTTGTCATGACATAGAGGGGTGTCAACACACAAACTGAAAACTCCTGTTGAAGATCGCAGATTGTGGAGAGGCGTGATCTCCCAACCTAGTTGGCAAGGCACTTAGTGATGATGATGAGTAAATGCTTGCAAAGTAAAAAGTAAAGGACCCTTTTTGTAGGACACACTTGGGCAAGGATGTAGTACCTGATTAGCTCCCTTTCAGGCTAATCTGCATAGCAGCAATGGACAGAGCAGAGAAAGCTTTTCACACTGTATCAGCACTAGGTCCTCTAAGCCAGCGGTTCTCAAACATCCCAGGGGTGCCACGGCTATAGTGAAGAATTTTTTCCAAATCTGCTTCAGATCAGTGAAGACAGCAGTTTAAAACAGAACTACCGTAAAAGGAAGCCAAGAATAGTTTTGGATACAGGTGTTTTCAAAAGACAAAACTATTGGCAAGACTGCAGTGCATTCTCAATGTACGTGCACATAGAAAAGAACACAGATGAGAAGCAAACATTCGGGATCAAGTGATCTGAGGGTACAATTGATTAAACTTCCCATAAACATAAAGGAGACAATGAAAAATTCATCCAAACAGTTTCATTCATTGCTTTAAAGACGAATAAACATTAAATGTGCACTGTTTTTTTTCTTCTTCTTTTTCAAAGTATTCAAACCGCTTTAAGGGTAGGTGTGTCATGAAAAAAATGTGGCCCAACAAGGGTGCCGTGGTGAAAAAAGTTTGAGAGCCACTGCTCCACTGATTTTGGACTAGAACTCCTTACTGCCTCAAAGAGTCAAGTGGTTGAACTGGAGTGCATACAGAATACAGTTGTGCTCATTTTGGGATGTACCAGAGACACCCCAATAGTTACACCCGAGTGTTGTGATATCAATTTTTGAATGAGCTCAACTCAGTTCAGCTCAGGGTAGTCTGAAACCATTGAAGCAGTTAGTGGACTCAACCTGAGAGCAGCCACTAGATAGTTGTTGATCAAGGGCTCAAGTTCCCCAACAGTAGATAAAGGATCACACAATAGTGATAATGGTTGTAGTCAGCAGACCAGTTAGGTCACTGCCAAGAAGGAAAGCAGTGACAAACTACCAGAATACCTTTTTCAAGATGCCAAGAATAATCATTATTTCAAAACTTACCATAGTCCTTACTCATGGTCTCAGTAGGGCGACCGTAAGTCCCGTTTTTACTGGGACAGAATTTTGGGTGTGTGTGTGTGTAGGTTGTCACAGATCATCCCCTTGATACTAAAAAGTCGTAAGGGAAACATTTTTATTTGTATTATTATCCATGGGATGGTCTGGGCCTACCTAAAAGTGGTAGTGTAACGACAATGTGGTTACCCTGTCCAACAGTAGATAAAGAGTCACAACACAGCGATAATAGCTAAAGTCCACAGACCTGTTTGGTCATTGCCTAGAAAGAAAGCAGTGGCAAACTACCAGACTACCCTCTTCAAGATGCCAAGAGTAGTCATAATTTTGCAACTTAGAAGAATACGATAAACGGATGCTTCGTAGGAAGGTGTAGACCAATGTGTCCCAGCCTGGGGCCCAAGCTGCACAGGAGGACAGTTTGATTGATGGGGGAAGGGGGGGGGGGGGGATGGAATTAGAAAATTGACATGTTCAGAGTTGAAATAACCAAGGGGGTATAAGAATTTCAGAAAGACTTGGGTGGGGTGTGGCACAAAAAAGGTTTAGGAAACAGTCTTAATCTTGGTAATCTTAGTTTCAGCTTCATAGCAAACGGTCACCCCATAGTTGCTCCGCTCCTGTGCCAATGATAAACAACAGAATGTTTATCACAGTCCCTTGTGGAAGGATTGACAGACTGCTGTCTCAGGATATGCACTAGCATACACACGCATTAAAAGCATACGGTAACCATCGGAAGTGCTAACACAAACAGTTTGACATTAGAAATGCAGTTCATCATCGACGGTAGCAGAAGTCACCAACAGATCAGCAGTTGCACACGCAATCAATATTAATCACATAAGGGCACCACCAATATAATATTGCCGCAACAGGCCATGCGCCATTTTCTGAATCTAAGTTCACAGCACAAAGTTGGTCGCAGTCGAAAAACATTCCAAATGAAATCTGCAGCTCACAGGGTCGCCCCATGCACTAGACTCAGTAGCTGGCGTGACGAAACTATATCCTTTCAGTCTATAAATGGATCAAAAATGCAACGGCCACCGTCTGGCAGAAGCAAAAACGTTTGCCTCGACACGAAACAGTGACCACTGGCGTCTATTTTTGGTACTAGAATACTAGAAACTGTGGTAAAGACAATCTTTGTTTTTCAGATATGTTTTGAGAAGGAATGGACTCGAAGCAGTCTGGTAGTCTTAGTTTCAGCTTCATAGCAAATGGGTCACCCCATCTTTGCTCCGCTCCTGTGCCAACGAAAAACACACAGAATGTTTATCACAGTCCCTTGTGGAAAGATTGACAGACTGCTGTCTCAGCATATCTAGCATACACTCGCAATAAAGCATACGGTAGCCATCCAAAGTGCTAACACAAACAGTCCGACATTAGAAATGCAGTTCATCATTAATGGTAGCAGAAGTCACCAACAGATCAGCAGTTGCCCACACGATCAATTTTAATCACATATGGAGACTCGAGGACTTGATAACTGGCAAGATTTATGTAAAAGGAGCAAGGTAAATGCAAAGAGTTAAAACACCTGGGCTCTCTTCCGTCTTCCCAAATTATTCATTGTTAAAAAAATCCCCCCAAAAACTAGGCTTCACGTTATAATATTTCATGTGAACTATACTTTTGAGTTTTTGTTAGTACATTTGTAAGTTTCTGCTTGTCATGCCGGTGACTGGTGTTTGATTCCCTGCCGGCTGATAGTTTTGTTCTTTTAGCCCTTAAAAGGGCGCTTGGCACGTTGTGTTGTGGTTTACAGCTAGGCTGCGATATCTGCACCTGTAACCCCAACACATCTGATTGCAGCAAAATCCTAAGTAGTCCCCTTTAACAGCATGCTTTTTAGGTGGCAGTGGATCATTTCTTCTCCCCCTCCCCTTCCCTCCCTCAAACATGTGGCCATATCCACAAGGAACCCACAAGGCAAGTCATTGGTAATGTTAACAAACGATCAAACATTGTTTTTTCAACTCTACGGCACGTTAAAGGATAAAAAACGACTCCTTCCCACTTACCTAAACAGTGGATCACAATCTTTTCCTTCCCACGACGCTTCTTTGGATGGACAACAATTTCTCCCCACAGCGCTTAATGTAACGTCCAAACATTGCTATCCATCGAGCAATTACAACTGAAGTGGAAACTGATGATGAAGACCTAAATGTTTTTACTACATAACTTCTTGAGGCTCTCAAAGGGATGTTTTTGCTGTGAATAATTTCGGACCAGTATTCGGAAGAGTGCCAACACCTGGATGGCTTAGACCAGATGGATGGGATCAGACAAGAGCACTGAGCTGATCCATGTTTCTTGTTATCTGCATGGCACATGATGATGATGAATGTCTTGAGAACATTCCGGTGTAGATTGCAGCTTTCTCTTCAACATTTTCAGCGTAGATCACAACTTTCTTCTCAACAGTTTCCAGTGTAGATCACAACTTTCTCTTCAAAAATTCCAGTGTAGATCACAGCTTTCTCTTTAACATCTCTAAATTAGGGTTCTGGTTTTGTATGTAACTAATGCTGTACTAATGTATGTAACTATTAGATCTACCATAGAGGAGCAGCCGATCAAATTTAGGCTTACAGGTGGCAGACCCGGGATCGAATCCTGGGCAAGGTTGGGTATTTTTTCCATTGTGACAGCACTAGCCATGTGGCCATAAATCCCCAGGCTTAAACACTATCCCTGCCTACACCGCAAAAGTAGTAAATATAGACAGCAAATGAATTTTTTTTCAATTGCAGATATTCAATAAAAACTACAAAAGTATTACAGATAAATGTACGAACAAACGAACAAACTTTATTTTTAAAGGGTTACAAATTAGGCACCCAGGCCTGTCTTACATTTGTCCCTTCCAAACTCCCATCTTTCACACAGCAGTTGTATTTCATCAATAAAGCATGTTATGTTCATGTAATAATATGCATATTATGAATATCCAGTCAAAAACAAAGGCATGGGTGGTAAAATATGTACGCACGCTCACGAGCGAACACCCACATACACACGCAAACCCATCCACATAGGCACCGAATACACAAACACACACACACACATCCACATACATACGAACATGCACACACACACATATACATACATGTAATAGTCAGTAGCATGTTCTTTGCAGAACCTTGCTCCCATAACAACCCTCCGGAAAACTTCTCGACATCACAAGCAAGATCTTCAAACTTTTATGACATTTCAAGTGGCCAGAATATTTCAGTTGTCTGTGTTTCATCATCTTTAATAGCCAACCTTCTTCACTATTCAGTTTTTGAAGTATGGATGCATGTTTTCTTTTCTTTACCCATGATGTTCTTAGAACCCGTCTAAAACATTTGTATTCAAAGGCATTTATGCGCTATTCAGCTTGTTTAGTAAGTGTCCAGATCTCACAGGTAAATGTTGCAATAGGAAAGATGCATATTCTTAGAAATCTACCGTGCAATGGAGTACATGCACGTGAGTTCAGACTTCCCTCAGGGTGTGCGCCAAAGAAGAAGCGCATGGGCATTTACAGCACGCTCAGCAGGCAGAACAGTCAAAGAAGCCAACGGCGCCTTCTCCATGACAACCAGCAGCATGACGATGGAGGTGATGGCAGTGACGCAAGCGTTTGCCTGGCTTGAAACACAAAAATACACCCGCATATGTTTACTCAGTGATTCAATGAGTATGATCCGGAGGGTTCAGGCAGGTTCAGTGCGAAGACAATGGCTTGAATCAATTCAGAAGTCCACTGTGCGTGGAGTCACCTTTATTTTTGTTCCGGGACACGCAGGCGTCGATGGAAATGAAAGAGCTGACAGGTTGGCTGGATCCACTATCACTACCGATGGTCGGCCTATGGATCATGCTGATATTATCAATGCCCTCAGAGAAATGGGAAGGATAGAGGACTTTGGTGGCAGTGAATCCACATCACTCGCCAGAATGGCAGACTTGGGAATTAAGATCGGCACAGCAAAAAACGAGTCGCACACCGGACACGTCAGAAGACTTGTTAATCAACATAGAACTGGTACTATTAGCCATCGGATGTTGGGGTTCATACTGAGGGGAGGATCTGAGCACCTATGGACATGTCCGGAGTGCAATGAGGATAACCCAACTAACTAACTAACTAACTAACTATCTTAGAAATCTAATTTTTGTAGTTATGTCTATCTCCCTACAATTTTATTTAGTTGTTTCAGTCTTTGAAGAGCCATTGATATTGTTATTAATTTCTTTCATTGTGTTACCATTGTTCACAGATAAATATACAATTTTTTTAACAAGTATTTGAAATGGAGCCGAGTATAGGGGTGACTACAGTTGAGTTGTTACGAAAAACTAAATGAACACAGTATTACTAAATAGTGAATATTTCAACCAGTCTTTACTAATGAATGAAAAAAAAATACATTGCTGAAAAAAGAAAATGAAACAAAGTAGTCGATGTATCACAGACGATTAACATATCACATTCAAATCCTAGTTCAGGAACAAATGAAACATTGCAGAGATTTACTGATCTTTTTCACTGTGAATCTTTATCAGAACAGAAGATATTAACTTTTATGTGCTCGTGTGTTTTTCTAAATCTTATTTTATCAAATACAGAATTATCTACGGATTTTGTTCGGAAAAGACGGCAGAGCTTCTGTTAATGAGCCCAGATGTTCCAGAGGGTACCTTCCTTCTCCGTCCGAGTGTATCTGAGATCAAGAAAACCAGTTCAGCAGACGCCACAGCTGCACTGGTCATGGAAGTGAAACTACGAAAAGGGAGTGCTCATCCATTTGATGGTCACAGTTCAGAATGTGCGTACATTGTTTTGTAGATTCTTCTTCTCCTTGTCTTCCCCCTTTCCTTATTTTGTTCCCTTTAAAATAACAGGTGACATGTTGTGTTGTTGTTTTCAGCTGGCTGTGGTATTTGTCTAACCTTGGCTGCCTTTGCTCTGTGGCTGAGTCGATGCGAGTGCTTCGTAATGCGGGGGTGCCGGGTTCGATCCCAGCTGCGGGCCATCGCCTTGGGTTGGTTTTGACAGTGGTATCAGGGCGCCGATCGTCCAGAAAGCAGTGGCAAACTAATGGACGTAAATTTGCCTAGAGAAACCACACAACAGCCAGGGGCTGCTGGGGTTGGTTCTGTAACGTCCTGTAAAGGATACTCAACTAACCTTGGCTGCCTTTAGTGAAAAGTTATTTGCAAACGGTGATATGTGGTTTTATTTTAAAAAAAATGAAGAAAATACCCTTGGTAGATAGAAGATAGAAAGAGTAATGAAGATGTCTTAAAAACTGACTCATGAAGAGGACTGATTGCCCACATCAGAAGGAGACAGTGAATCTTTGGTCATATTATGAGACGGAGAAAACTGGAGTACATTGTGATGGTGGGAAAGTTGGAGGAGAAAGGAGGCAGAGGAAGACCGAGAGACAAGATGCAGTGTGACATCATGGCATGGAAGATCAGCTGTGTCAGGTCTGATTGAAAGTACACGGGACAGAAAGTTTTGTTTTGTTTTTTTGTTTTTTTGGGGAGGTTAAATATCCAGAAGCCATGAGTTGTAAACCCTTTGGCTCGATACTTTAGATATCTCAAGCCTTCGCCCTTGATTCCATGATAGATACCGTTAATCTGGGAGAAATATGGCTTTTTTGCCTACCTCCAGGCCTGAACCCGGACCACAAGGAGTTCGTCACCCGGTCGCTGCAAATTAAGATTTAACCAATTACACTGGCGAGCTGCGTATAAAGTTGTGGATATGGACGTGACTACAAAAGCCACACCGCATGGACTGTAAGAAGAAGAAGTCCCATATTTACGTGTGAATAGGCTGCAGTATTTAAAAATAAAGTTGTTGATGTAAATAAGGGTGGGACTTTTGTTGGAGATATGAGGCCTACGTGTCACTGACAGTGATACCTAGCAGTATGGTGCACTGTTGGTTTTCTGCTCCTTAAGTTGATACGTGCATTGTGTTTTCACCAGCTTTGTTTACTGTTGTTTCAACTAGCCTGTGGAAGAATATGGGAGTTCCCCTATAATTTCCAGTTGCCCCTACGCTGTAGTTGTGTATCTTCCGTAATTTCAGAACATGTCTTTGAAACGCAGACAGTTTCTCCTGATAGATATTTTGAAGTCACTGCACCATAGTTATCAGTCGCTGAATTACGAGGTCATTTTGTGACATAAAGCATCTTTCCCAGCCATAAATGACTTAAAATTCACTTAAGGAATTTCAACGATGTCTGATAATTGATTGACGAGGTTCAAAGTATAAAATTTCCAGGGATACAGAAAATCCGTCTGCCTGCCTGTATTCTCTTGACATATTCCAGCAGACTGGATTCTACTGCCGGGTATTTCACATTTTCACCTCTTTCATTCCAGTCCATTGTCACATATTTTTTCTATTTTTTAAATCCACTTCGAACTTCCTCTGAGCAGCTTGATTTACATTTTCTTGCACATAACACTCTACTCGCAACTTAAGTTTACAACTATGACTTGTTCTTATGTGGCCCATCTCTCACTGCCTACAGATACTAATGTTTAAATTTTGGCCTCTTGATGAAATTCTTAGTAAATTATTGTTTCCTCAATTATTGTTTCCTCAATTATTGTTTCCTCAATTATTGTTTCCTTTATTGTTTCCTCAATTATGTTTCCCCAATTATTGTTTCCCCAATTATTGTTTCCTCAATTATTGTTTTTCCTCAATTATTGTCTCACTTATTGTTTCCTCAATTATTGTTTCCTCAATTATTGTTTTCCTCAAATTGTTTCCTCAATTATTGTTTCCTCTTTATGTTTCCCCAATTATTGTTTCCTCAATTATTGTTTCCTCAATTATTGTTTCCTCAATTATTGTTTCCTCAATTATTGTTTCCTCAATTATTGTTTCCTCAATTATTGTTTCCCCAATTATTGTTTCCTCAATTATTGTTTCCTCAATTATTGTTTCCTCAATTATTGTTTCCTCAATTATTGTTTCAATTATTGTTTCCTCAATTATTGTTTCATCAATATTGTTTCCTTTTGTTGTTGTTATTGTTTCCTCAATTATTTTTCAATTATTGTTTCAGAAATGGGTGCGGACCTCACATTAGCCTTCTTTTCTCTTTCACCTTGTACCTCAGAGAAGTGTCAGGGGGAGATGTAACAATCGTTGATGAGCTCTGTCAGGACCACTATTAAGATTGATGTTCATTTCTGTAGGGCTGTTCTTAATGCCATCACTCCATCTCTAAACTCGTAACGTTTCATTGTGGCTCGCTGTCGTAGATAGTACCAGGGCATTCTTGTTAGGTGTCTAAACGACTTCATTTGTTGTTCTTTGATGACTTGTAAGACTGGCTTTATTCATAGCATTCATCTGATTTCATGATTTCATATTCTAACTTTCCTTGAAATTCCTGCAGCTCTTCTAGGGATTTCATCTCTGTTGTCGCAATTTTATGTTCGTTAGAAGATATAAGTAACTGATAGCATAGTGTTGGCCAAAAAAAATAGTTCTGATAAGATTCACTTTAGTATCTGCTTGTGTGTAAATAGGGGAGATAGTTGCCCCATAACTTGATTAGCTTTGGCACATCTGGAGCTAATTTCTCTGTCAAGTTTTCCATCGGATGTGAAAATTGCTCCTAAATACTTTAATTCCTCTGCGTAAATATGGTACATTGACTCCTACAGCTTAACATATAATTGCAATTATATTGATTTCTACAGTTGAAGTCACTTCAGTTCCCTTGTTTTACAAACACATTGAGAAGAACACCCTGTATGGAGCCATCAAGGGTATTGAATGCAACAATAAACCTGTTGCCAGGTTTCTGTATGGAAAAAAGGGAGGCAGGAAGTTGGAGGTCCTAAAAGGCTATGTCAAAAGTGAGATTTTATCCTTGTGTGATTGCTTTTTGTTGTTGTTGTTATTTGGTTAGTTCATTCATATAACAGTACTGGTAAATGATTTTATAGAACATCAAAGAAACAAATGGTTTGGTCATATGGTCAGAAGTGAACCAAGTCAGCCTGCAGCCATAGCATACTACATGAGAACAGCAGGCTACAAGACATGAGGCTGACCAAGAAAGAGATGGGTGGATGTAGTAAAAGAGAACTACAGAAGCACAGTATGACTTTAACACAAGCTATGCAACTAGCAAAAGACAGGAAACTGCATCTAAATTTTCTCTGTGACGCTTTATGGCATAAGCATGAGGACAAAAGAAGTGAGTTGAGTTTAGTCAAGAATTAACATCACAGCACTCAGGGCATTTCCATGTGTGCTCCGTCCTCATCTTCAGCAGCTAGCACAGAGTTCCAATACTGATGGTACTGGTCACAATCTGGTTTTATGTCTGTCTTGCCTTTCCTCTGAGTGTAGTCAGCCGGCCAGACCCTCTGGTTACACCCATTTGCCTCATTCTCTCCAGGCCATAATAATCTTGTTTCTCGACTGATTCCGTTCTTGGTCTACCTCTTGCTCTACATCCCTCTCCTCCTTTGGTATATGCCTTGTATGGTATAGTATCAGATTTCTTTCCAAGTGGCAAACCATTTGATTTGCTGTCTTTGTTTGTGATTTAGAATTGGTTATGTGCCGACTTTATCTTGTATGACCTCATTCCTGATTTTATCTCTTCTGGTCACTACTAGAGTCTTTCTCAGAACCTCATTTCCATGGTTACTAATTTGTGTGTGTGTGTGTGTGTGTGTGTGTGTGTTTTGTTGTGAGTGACAATGTCTGGCACTGATAGCATAGGGTGGAAGTGAATATGCTTTGTGTGAGATGTTTTTTGTACTGATCTGGATTGGATTGCCTAATAATGTTGTAAGTGGGAAAAGTTGTCACAATACTTGGCCTGCTTTACTGCATTGGATGTCAAAATCTTTGACTAATTTACCATCTTCAGTTAATAATGTTCCAAAATATATAAACTCAGATACCTGTTTAATATATGTAAGCTTTAATGCTATATTTAAATTCTGCTTCTTTCTTCCTATTGACATTCATTCATTCATTCAGTAGCATGTCCCTCGCGGAACCTCGCTGCCATAACAACCCTCCGGAAAACCTTCCTATCATGAGCAAGATGTCCTGCGTCTGATACACCCATCTGGAGATCATCTGCCACATCCTGCACCCATCTTCTCCTTGGCCTTCCTCTTCTTCTCTTCCCAGGCATATACCCCTCCATTATTGTTCTCTCTAGACTTCCATGACGTTTCAAGTGACCAAAATATTTCAATTTTCTTTGTTTTATTGTCTTTACTAGCCAACCCTCTTCAATATTCAGCTCTTGAAGTATGGATGCATTTGTTCTTTTCTTTACCCAAGATATTCTTAGAACCTGTCTGTAACATTTATATTCAAATGCATTTATGCGCTGTTCCGCTTGTTTAGTAAGTGTCCAGGTCTCACAGGCGTATGTTGCAATGGGAAAGATGCATGCTCTTAAAAATCTGACCTTTGTAATTCTATCTGTACAATTCCATAATTTATTCAGTTGTTTTAGTCTTTGAAGAGCAATTGACTATTGACATTACTTCTGTCTTTTTTATGTTGATTCTCCTATGATTTGATTTAAATTCTTCTTCTTGGATGTGAGATGTTGTTGTAAATTCATGGCTGTATCTGCAATCAAGGCCTGGTCATCAGCAAAAAAAGTAATTTGTTGATGTTACTGTTATTTTCAGTTCCGAGTTTGGCATCCTTGCTTATACAGTCAGTGTAGGTGATAAACAGGAGAGGTGATAAGACACCTCCCTGTCTTACCCCAGATGTTACTTTGAATGATTTAGATGTTACCTGATTTTTTTTTTACTATGCTTCTACAATCTTTGTATAAGCTTTTGCAAATTTCATGTATCTGTATCAAGCCATTAGTTTCCATATTATTTACCTATTGATTCTGTCAAAAGCTTTCTCCTGGTCTACAAATGCTACAAATAAGTTCTGATCATATTTAAAATTCTACAACAAAATTTCATATGAAAATCGGTTTAGGAAATCACTGCAAGTACAAATTAATTTCATATTAACCACTTTTTAAAATCACTGTGACAGAGATATACATGTCCTGGTGTTTACTTGTCCTGCTGTTTACATGTCCTGCTGTTTACTTGTCCTGCTGTTTATATATCCTGCTGTTTACTTTTCCTGCTGTTTACTTGTCCTGCTGTTTACTTGCTCTGCTGTTTACTTGTCCAGCTGTTTACTTGTCCTGCAGTTTATATATCCTGCTGTTTACTTGTCCTGCTGTTTACTTGTCCAGCTGTTTACTTGTCCAGCTGTTTACTTGTCCTGCTGTTTACTTGTCCAGCTGTGTCCAGCTGTTTACTTGTCCTGCTGTTTACTTGTCCTGCTGATTAATGTACTGTAGGCCTACATAAATACATAAATACAGTTAAAAAACAAAATTTTGATGGAAAAAAAGGCTATTGTTTGGAAGTTGAGTCACCTTCAGTCATGACGTCAGGTAATGTGACTTTGGTGACTGATCTCATGATGGTTCATTAGAAGTTGTTTTGTTCTGTTTTTTTTTTAAATGTTTCTTAAGTGTCCATACACATAATCATCAAATGAATTGATATGCTGATTAACTATAGCGATGTTTAGCTGTCATTTCTCAGTGAAAACCTGCAAGTTGACAGCTATTCCTTAATTTCTGCGGTTGGAATCGGCTCATTATTTTTTTTTTCTTGTCTCATGACTCACCGGCCTCGTCAAAGGAAAGAGGTATATTGACTTTACCAGTGAATATAAAATGCAGATTTCAGTTAAAATAAAAAAAAAATTAAAAAAATTGATAGGCGTTGTGGTTAACAACCTTTCTTTCCCCAGAATATTCCATCATACTCGGTACCGGCACCTTTTTCTAGACATCATTTGTTTAGCACTGTTGTAGCAGACACTTTTTGGTTAGTACCGGTACTTTTTTTTTTTTTAGACACACTGTGATGAGTACCATTATTTTTTCCCTTAAACCCAAGACTTTTAGGCAGACAGGCAGATGTCTAGCCACTACACCACTGCAGCTTCCTCTCATTCAGCAATGATTTCTAGAATTTTGTTTGGCTCATTTACTCTTCTTGTAATAATATACACATATGTTCTACATTTTCAATAACGCACAACGTGTCTAGGGTGTTCCATAAAACCCCCTTAACAGTCAAAGTTTTTAAATAATTGCGTACTGCTTCAAAAGAGCGGGAGTCGCCGTGGCAGAGTAGCTAGAGGCTCGGAAGATTGTAGGTTTGCTCCCTGGTGGAGCCTGACTTTTTTCCCATGTTGACCCAGTCTTGAGTATGTACCGGGTACAGTCCCAGGAAGTAAAGGTGGCTGGCGTGATGCTGGCCACATCACCTATCTTGTGCTGATTGGTCTATAAAATATAGGTCTAGCCCTATATGCCCAATATGCCTAAAGGCGTGAAAAAGGGTTTTTCGCTTCATAAGAGCATCACAAAATTTACCACAATGTCTCAGGGGCACGAGATTTCATACCGGCTGCCAATGTTGTAAGGGGGAATAGCTGTCACAATACTTGGCCAGCTTTACTGCATCAAATGTCAATATCTTTGACTAATTTACCAACTTCAGTTAATATTGTTCCAAGATATATAAAATCAGATGCCTGTTTAATATATGTAAGCTTTAATGCTATATTTAAGTTCGGCTTCTTTCTTCCTATTGACATTACATCGGCTGTGACCCCTGTTCCCATAGGCTCTGCACTGTGTTGTAGGGGTGTAAGGATATGTGTTGCTTTGCCTCTGCAGTCTCTTCACACCGTGCTCAGAATAGTGGCACCAATTAGTTCGAGGCCCGAACATAAAACTGTGGAGCTCTCTTTCCTGGCTGGCATCTTTAAGCTAGTTTTTATTTTTGTACTTTTCTGTCTGCAAGGACGGCTTCAGCTAGTTTTCTTTTCTCTCTTAACTACGTCTTTTTTCTGCAACCATCACTGGTTTGAGAATGGGGGACATTTATGAGCGGGTTCTGGAAAGGGCTGTCTGGGGGGTGGGGGAAAGGGGGCATTATAGAAAAGCAATGCTACTCTCCTTGTCGCTCAACAGTGTTAACAGTTAAAGGAAATTCATAGTGAAGACAAGTCACCAGGTGATGCCGCAAAAATAACAATGAAGATGAAACGCACATAATGCAAGTAACACACACAGTGCTGGCTGCTGTTGACATGGAGAATAGAACGTGCTGGCCGCCCACAATACAGAATATAGAATGCCTAGAAGTTAAAAATAACAAAATGTGACACCCCTCAAACATAGGACAGCTTGTGGGAAATCTCACTCTCCGCGAGCTACAGTGAGTTTTGTGATATGCGCTGTGTTTTGTACTTACAAATATTCTATCACTGTGGAGGGTCATATATGATTTTAGCTGCTTATATTTTATTTTTATTGTAATCAGAACAGGAAAAGAATGCTTAAATTTTGTTTTTATTTGTATTTAATCAGAACAGGAAGAGAAGTTTTTCCCAGAATACCGCATGCTGATAGAGAAAATTGAAAAAATCAACATCCGTCATTGGTAAGGTTAGCTAATAGTTATAATTGTGTTCAAACATCCAGTCAGGATTTCATATCATAGTAAAGATTTGTTGTATGTTTGCCCATATGATCATCCAGCACATATGGTTTAGTTTATAAATTTCCCAGATTTTTGCATCGTATTATATTTTATCTTCTTCTTCCTCTCCTCCTCTTCTCCTCCTCCTCCTCCTCTTCTTCTCCTTCTTCTTCTTCTTCTTCTCCTCCTTCTTCATCTTCTTCTGCTCTTCCCCCTCCTCCTCCTCCTTCTGCTTCTTCTTCTTCTTCTTCTTCTTCTTCTTCTTCTTCTTCTTCTTCTTCTTCTTCTTCTTCTTCTTCTTCTTCTTCTTCTTCTTCTTCTTCTTCTTCTTCTTCTTCTTCTCCTTCTCCTTCTTCTTCTTCTTCTTCTTCTTCTCCTTCTTCTTCTTCTTCTTCTCCTTCTTCTTCTTCTTCTTCTTCTTCTTCTTGTTCTTCTTCTTGTTCTTCTTCTTCTTCTTCTTCTTCTTATTATTATTATTATTATTATATTTTGGCTGTGAACTATGACAGAAATTCCTGGTTGTTCATCTAATTCTGGACTTTGGTCTTGTTAAAGATCTTGACAACACATCCATTTTACAGATCTGGCTTATTTAAATGCAGTTTGTTGGTTCCGGGCCTCTCAGTTTGTTGGTTCCTGGACTCTCAGTTTGTTGGTTCCTGTCCTCTCGGTTTGTTGGTTCCTGGACTCTCAGTTTGTTGGTTCCTGGATTCTGTTGGTTCCTGGACTCTCAGTTTGTTGGTTCCTTTACTCTGTTTGTTGGTTCACAGACTCTCAGTTTGTTGGTTCCTGGACTCTCAGTTTGTTGGTTCCTGGACTCCCAGTTTGTTGGTTCCTGGCCTCTCAGTTTGTTGGTTCACAGACTCTCAGTTTGTTGGTTCCTGGACTCTCAGTTTGTTGGTTCCTGGACTCTCAGTTTGTTGGTTCCTGGCCTCTCAGTTTGTTGGTTCCTGGACTCTCAGTTTGTTGGTTCCTGGACTCTCAGTTTGTTGGTTCCTGGCCTGTCAGTTTGTTGGTTCCTGGCCTCTCAGTTTGTTGGTTCCTGGACTCTCAGCTTGTTGGTTCCTGGACTCTCAGGCAAATGCATTCTAACTTCGAATGACACACCCGTAATCATTTGTGTTTTACCTGGTATACGAACACTACTCTCCAAACTAGGAAGTCAGTGTAAGGTAAAAATGCAGTGGATACCATCCCACTGTGGAGTTTCCGGAAATGAAAGAGCTGATAAACTAGCCAAGGAAGGTGCAAATGAAAACAACCTGACGAACAAGTCTCTTATCAGCAAAAGAAGAGAATAATCAGATCAATCAGAATGCCACCAAAACTGGCACAGGACGATTACCATTTTATGGACAGACCAGAGCAAGTTATTTTTTTATGGCTTAGAACAGGACACAATGGACTTCACAGCCACATGTACACACAATTTAAAATCGGCGAATCAGCCATGTGTACATGTGGACTGGCACCTGAGACAACAGATCATGTCCTTCAAGATTTTCCCAAATACAACAGATCAAGGCAAAACTTTTGGCAAAGAGAAACATCGGTGCAAGTCACACTTTACGGCTCGCTGAGTGAATTACAAAAGACAGCGAAGTTCATACTAGAGAAATATTGCAGATATAGATAATCTATTTCAAAGCGAACGAAAGGAGGACACTGGGTCTACCCCCCCCCCCCCCCCCCTTACAATGGGCCCCTGGAAGTTTCACACTGGGAGTTTTACTATGATATGAAACTATTTAATACAATACAGAAAAGTTTAATTATCGCTCCTTATTTTTATAGTAATGCGCCAACAGCTGCTACTGAAGTGGTGTCCGATAGAGATGATGATAGTGGACAGGAGCCCACAAAGAGGAAGAGACGATACAGAAAATCTTCACCCAACACACAAATTCCATCAAATTCCCAATCACCACTATCGTCTGGAGCAACGTGTGGTTCCCCAAGTGGATGTGCTACTTCTATCTCCTCAGGAGAGATCACTCTCTCCTTCGGAGACATCAAACAGGTAAATATTCATTTTTATTTGTTTTTGTGCCTCTCTGTGCATTTGTCTTTCTGATTCAGAGTAGGTTTTTCAAATGTCACCATTTTTATTTTGAGGGGGCAAATCATTAAAAGGAATGAGAATCAAAGATAAAATTATTGCAGAAAAGATAAGAGCGGAGCGTCTGAGAAGAAAGAGACTAAACACAAATGATGGCAACAATGGTCCTGAAATCTACACCCTCATAAGCGTTCCATCCCCATCTTCAGCAGCAAGTGAAGAGTTCCAATTCTAATGGCAATTCTGATTGTATATCCGCCTCGCCTTTTCCCTCAGTGTGGAGCGCTGGCCAGATTTCCTGGCAACTCTTCGCAGCACCAATCTTCTCAGACTATAATGATCTATCTGTGCCTCCACACTGTACACTTGCCCCCAAAGTGCCCTCACTACATCCAGCTTATCATACATCAGTTCACCACCAAGCGATGCAGAACCGGCCAGTCTACCTGTCTGCTCATTTTCGAACACAATGGTATAACCTGGAGAAAAATCTCCAAAGAATGCTAACTACCGGGAACCTCTGAAGTGATGCTTGCCACTCTGCAGGGAGCATGCCTACACAGCATATCATGCGGAATGAAACCTATTGTGCAGATGCTGTACTTCCTTTTAACAAATTATATTGAATAATACAGCATCATATTAAACCATCCATAATCACAATATTAAATCAAATCATCAACATATGTTGACTTCTGTTTCCGACATTGATAGGGAATGGATGACGGTTGAGAACTTGGCTTATGTTGACTGTTCTTGTCGCCGTTTCTCTTCCAGTTTTGATGTGGAAAGATTGTGGAGGTCCGGTTTGCAGCAGGAGCTACTGAATTTAGTGCTGCAAACCGGACCTCCACAATCTTTCCACACTCAAGAAGAAAAGATTCTTGGCAGCCTTTTTAGTCATGGCATAGAGGGGGTGTCAACACATGAACTGTTACACACAGATTGCGGGGAAGGCATGACCGCCCACACCAGTTGGCAAGGCACTTGAGGATGATGGTGATGAGTGCAGTATAACACTTGTTTGTATTTTTGGAAAGGTGCCAGCCAGAAAACCCTGGTTCCATATAACGTATATTTGATTTATGCACAGGAGAATCCTCCACATATGCAGTTCCAGTCTGGTGGCGCAGTTAATGAGCAGAGTCAAAGGTCAGGAATGCAAGGCAAGACAATCGCTGGTAATTTGCCTGGCTGCTTCAGCTCAAAGCAGTTGTATGTTTTAGCTGACAGTAAATGTTTTGTTTATATGTAGTGTGCACAGTTATAATTATGCTCAGTTTTAATTGGCATGCAGGCATCTGTTATTTTCTAATTTCAGTTTATGCTTGAAAAGGTAGCCATGTCTTTACATTTCGAAAGGCCATATATTCATAATTTTAAACACTCTTTATTCCGACAAGAAAATTTATAAATACGTCTTAAAGTTGAAATAAAATCAGATTTTTTAACTCACCTATTTATTTACAAAGATAGTTTTTAGATAAAATCCTAACACTTAAAAATTCATTCTTCAGAAATATATTTGAATAATCAAATATAGTTACATTCAGGGTTGTTTAGATAATAGTTCCCGATGGAATATAAAATTTTGGATTTTACACTGAATAAATTTCCAAACTATTATGTATAATTATAATGATACATAATTTAACTAGGGAGTCAGTTCAAGTTAAATCTTAATGTTACATAATTGAATGAAGAGACATTATTTTTCTTGGACCACAATGTGTTATTTAAAGAATCAAAACTTCACTGATGTATAGTGTATAGGTCTTGATAAAGAATTAGACAAAATAACTGCTTGTCCAAGCAGATGCTCTACACTGTACAGTTTAGAATTTTGTTTTTTCAATTTGTTACTGACAGGACAAAATTTCTTGCCTTACTAAAGCTTAGGACCCAGAAATCATGATGTGTGAGTCTTGTATCTTAACCTTTTGAATGCTTCCATTCTATTTTAACCCCTTTAAACATGTGATGAGGTAGAATTTAACAGCTTTTGTATCATGCTGTGTTTGTCTGTTGTTGTATTGTTAAAATGTCATGAAATGTTCTTTTATGGTGTATTATATTATTGCTCGTGTTTGCTGTACAGGTGCGTTCTGGGTTGAGAAGTCTTCTTCATCTTCTTCTTAATGTTCATCATCATCATCATCATCATCATCAAGCATCAGGACCTTTTAGAATGTTGCTCTGTTCATGGCACGCCTGAAAGCCTCTAATTAATTGTCCAGCCCTATGTGCTTTCATAGCCAATGCATCTTCAGTTGTTGTATCCACTTTCACACAAGTTGGCCTCTGACTGATTTTCTGTAAACGGCACCCTCCATCCCTGTTTTCCCCAGGCCCATGATGTTTGCATTCACCAGCTGTAAACTCCACCAGAAAGATCTAGTTGTCCGTCTGCTTCTGTACTTTAGTCTTATTCTAGAAGCTGAGTATTGCATGGACATCCATTTTACAGATCTGGCTTTTTTGTATGCAGTTTTTGTCCCCCCCTTGCCTCTCAGGCTGATGCACTCCAACTTTAAAGAAAACACACATAGTTAGTTGCTTCTTATGACATTCTTATTGTGGACCAGGGGTCTACATCCCCCCCCCCCTCCTCCCACAATGGGGCCCCAAGATGCACACAGGGAGGTTGAGAAATCAAGATCACCAGTGTACATTCTTCTTCTTCTCCTTCTCCTCCTCAGATGCCTAGTCTAGAGCAGATGGTGGTGATAACAGCAATTGACACAATGTTCCTGCTCTTCTCCTGGTGTTGGGGAGATATAAGGATCTTGATTCTAAAGATAACATAATGCTTCTGCTCTTCTCCTGGTGTTGGGTAGAGATATAAGGATCTTGATTCTAAAGATAACATAATGTTCCTGCTCTTCTCCTGTTGTTGGGGAGAGATAAGGATCTTGATTCTAAAGATAACATAATGTTCCTGCTTTTTAACTGGTGTTGGGGAGAGATATAAGGATCTTGATTCTAAAGATAACATAATGTTCCTGCTCTTCTCCTGGTGTTGGGGAGAGATAAGGATCTTGATTCTAAAGATAACGCAATGTTCCTGCTCTTCTCCTGGTGTTGGGTAGAGAGATAAGGATCTTGATTCTAAAGATAACTTAATGTTCCTGCTCTTCTCCTGTTGTTGGGGAGAGATAAGGATCTTGATTCTAAAGATAACATAATGTTCCTGCTTTTTAACTGGTGTTGGGGAGAGATATAAGGATCTTGATTCTAAAGATAACATAATGTTCCTGCTCTTCTCCTGGTGTTGGGGAGAGATAAGGATCTTGATTCTAAAGATAACATAATGTTCCTGCTCTTCTCTTGGTGTTGGGGAGATATAAGGATCTTGATTCTAAAGATAACATAATGTTCCTGCTCTTCTCCTGGTGTTGGGGAGAGATAAGGATCTTGATTCTAAAGATAACGCAATGTTCCTGCTCTTTTCCTGGTGTTGGGGAGAGATATAAGGATCTTGATTCTAAAGATAACATAATGCTTCTGCTCTTTTCCTGGTGTTTGGAAAAAATCTAAAGTTTTTCTGTGCACACTTTCCAATTCTCTTTATATGAGTATAAGTTGACCCTCATTTTCTCAAGGCTGTTCTTAATGCAATTCTTCTCTTTGTTTTACATTTAAAATTTTTTTTTCAGCGGCATTCTTGTCAGATGACCAAGCCACTTCACCTGTTACTCTTTAATTAACTGTGTGACTGGTTTTAGGCTTATTCACCTAATTTCTTCATTTTAAAATTATCTTCTCGTTACTTTAACATCCCATCTCTGTTGTTATGTTTTTTTTTTTTTTTTTTGCTTCTTAGTTTGAGTAAGGGTCAGAGTTTGAGACTCGTAACAAAAAGTTGACCAGAAATATTTCTGTACATGTTGATTTATTATTCGTTATGATTCTGTTTTTGTTGTTTTTTTGTTTGTTTTATCACCAGTACATTTGCAATTTGATAACCACTAGAACAGCTTGTCGCTTCATCTTTGCTGTTTAATACCAGCTCTTGTTTTATGTTTGCAATCAATGTATGCTTGCTGCTTGAAAGTTGCACCTTACTGCTGTTTTGCTAGCAGGGTTGGTTAGATTTAGTTTTGACAAGGCTTGTAGTCCCTTACTGTTTTAAATTACACCAGCTAATCTAAGAAAACTTTAGAATATGTATATTTAAAAAAAAAGTAAAGGGCCTTTTTCCACACCTTCAGGTGCATTGGGCACATAGGGCTAGACCTGTATTTTATAGACCAGTAGGCACTCTGTGGGTGATAGGGGCAACATCACGCCGGCCGCCTTTACTTTCCAGGACTGAACCTGGTACTCACTCAAAGTTGGGTCGACCTGGGAGTCAAGGAAATCTTTGAAGAAAGCCTGGTTTCATCAGGACCCAAACCCTTGACCTTCTCATCCGCAGCCGAGCCTTTAGCCACTACACCACAATGACTCCCTTAGAAAATATATACATCTATTAAATATATAGATAATGAAAATATGTTGTCGTTTAATTGTTATTAAAAGAAATAATAAAGAATATGTTTGCATAATCACATAAATTATATTAATTATTCTTCTTGAAGGTTCTAAGTTACAACTTTAATAAACTTTTCTTGATTTCCCAAATGTAAAAATCATGGGGCCCCTGAAGATTATGAGGCCCTAAGCTGTAGCTTACTTAGCCCATACCTAGATCCAGCACTGGTTACCAGTGTGAGTTTGCTTTTTGATAGCAACACATTATTGGCATTTTATGAGAGGCAACATTGATTGCCCCATAATTGACATGTTTTGGCTTATTTTATCTTGGCATGTTTGAACTATTTCAGTTTTCACACTTATGATTAGAACATCTCGACTGTTTTATGTTTGATTATGTTTAATTTCATTTTTTGGTAATAGTCATAATTTTTTTAAATTTTGTCTATCAGTGTCCGACTTTATGTCGCTGTTGACAGACAAGACATTCACAAAAGAGCTCCATTCTTTTGTTTTTCTGCCTATAGTATCCCATGTTTATGTCCCTCCTTTCTGTTGTCCTTCTCTGTGCTTTCTGAAGTCATCTCATTGTCAGTCAGCAGGACCTTTGCAGAATTTCGCTCACAGATTGCCTGAAAGTTCTCTCTCTTTCTCCAGCCAATTCTCCAGCCTTATGTGCTTTCATATCAAATACATCTTCAGTATCTTGTATCCACCTTCATAGAAGCTGATGTTTGCCTCATTTTCTAAAAACTGCACCCCCAGTCACCTTTCTCTCCAGGCCACCATGACGTGTAACACGGCTAAAATACCTTCAGGAAAGGATGTTGTTTATGAGCCAATTCTCCTTGATTTTCAGATCGTGTAGGACGATGATGTTTTCTTCTTCTTGATTCACATATTCTAAAAAACTTTCTGTAACATTTCAGTTCAGATGCTCTGATTTGTTTCTTGAAAGACTGATAGAGTTCTTGACTCACAACCATAAGTTGCCACGGGAAAGATGCATGATCTCAGAATGTGTACTGTTACCCACTTGCATGTGCTGTGCCAAAGTTTCTTTATCTTGTTTGGCTTCTGCATTGCTAAAACTAGTCTTTTTCTCACTTCTTTTACAGTCACCATTGTTGTTCACTATTGAGCCCCAGTGTTTAAAATGTGTTACATTTTCATTCTCTTCATTATCGGTTTAACACTAATGTGTTACATTTTCATTCTCTTCATTATCGGTTTAACACTAATGTGTTACATTTTCAGGCTCTTCGTTATCGGTTTAACACTAATGTGTTACATTTTCAGGCTCTTCGTTATCAGTCACTAATGTGTTATATTTTCGTTCTCTTCATTATCAGTTTAACACTAATGTGTTATATTTTCGTTCTCTTCATTATCAGTTTAACACTAATGTGTTATATTTTCGTTCTCAGTTTAACACTGTGTTATATTTTCGTTCTCTTCATTATCAGTTTAACACTAATGTGTTATATTTTCAGGCTCTTCGTTATCAGTTTAACACTAATGTGTTATATTTTCAGGCTCTTCGTTATTGTTTTAATACTTAGTTGGCATGATATGTTCATTGTGGATATTGTTTTTTTTCAAATTCACAAATTAATTATCTTCTTGACTGTAGTTTCTGATGTTCCTTGACTGTAGTTTCTGATATTCCTTGACTGAAGTTTCTGATGTTCCTTGATTGTAGTTT